TCTAGACCGGATTCTCCAGCTCGAAACCGTGACGCGCAGAATTCCGAAATGGCAATTTGGATTTCGAAGAAGTCACGGAACTCCGGAACAGCTCCACCGTGTGGTCAACTTCGCCCTGGAAGCCATGGAGCAAAAGATGTACTCAGTGGCTGTGTTTATGGATATTAAACAAGCTTTTGATAGAGTGTGGCATAATGGACTCCTCTGCAAATTGAAAGGCATGCTAACTCCTCAATTGTTTCAACTGATCGAAAGCTTTCTAAGGGACAGAAGCTTCAGAGTTGCTGTTGATGGAGTGAAATCCACGAGGCGCTCAATTTGTGCAGGGGTGCCCCAAGGCAGTGTTCTCGGCCCTACCCTGTATACATTATTTACTGCTGATATGCCTGCACCGCAAGAGAGTAGACGAGGATGACGCACTAATAGCTACTTAGAGACATTGATGTAGCTTCGGAAGCCTTACAGCAGTATGTAAGTAGTTTCGAGAATTGGGCTCTGAATTGGAACATTGGAATCAACGCCAGCAAGTGTGCGAATGTCACATTTGCAACAAGGCCGTCGTCATGCAGAGATATTACAATGTTGGGGTCCACGCTCAGTCATACAAATTCGCACAAGTATCTTGGTGTCATTCTGGACAGAAGATTCAACTTCAGCAAGCACACAACAATGGTCAAGCGATCGGTCATGGCAAAAGCCGGAAAGATGGCATGGCTGCTTGCACCATGCAACAAGCTGTCTCTGCACAGTAAGGTGATAGTATACAAATCCATATTAAGTCCAATATGGAAGTATGCGCTACCAATTTATGGCATTGCCGCTGCATCAAACCTAAATAAAATAAGAGTTGCGCAAGCTAAAATACTGAGAAAAATACGCAACGCTCCCTGGTATATGCGCACTAGAGACATCGAAAGAGACTTATGTGTCCCCAAGGTTGGCGATGTCATTCAAGTGCACGCAAGCAATTACGAGAAGCGAATCGGCAGTCACCCCAACGCACTAGCGAGGCGGCTCCTGTCCAAGCCTAAGAGGAGAAGACTGAAGAAGTGCCATCCAAAGGATCTCCCCACAAGATCCCTTGTATAAAATATAATTTCATTTTTCATGTAAAACATTGTAAATATTGTATATACATAGATGTAAGTGCGTCCTATAGATGCTTACTATAGACAACTTTTGTATTCCCTAACTTTCAACTAGCTTAAGCTGCCATATTGGTAGTAGAAAACAAGTAAAAAAGCTAAAGTCGGGTGTCCCGACTTTGAAATACTCTGTACATGTGTTTACAATAATTATAGAAAAAAAAAAAAATTTTTTTTAAATTTGATCGATTTTACCTTTCTCGGTATTCCAACTCACGTAAAGGGTATATAATTGCACATTTACATAGCAATTGCGTCTGTGTGAGTGTATGTATGTTTATGCGCGTCTATTTGTGTCTGTGTAAGCATTTTCGCAGTCAACTAAACAGCAACTCAAAACAGCCGCGGGCAGCGCTAGGGCAGCGCTTGGGCAGCGCTGCAACAGCAAATATATTTATGGATATAACTTCTTGTTAAATAGGTCTATCATAGTGAAACTCGGCATACGGACACATAATAACTAACTGGGGGTATTTCCAAAATTTTAGTTCGAAATTCCAAGAATTACGGGAGTTAGAGAAAATCGAATTTGCGGGGGAGAGGGGGGAGGGAGGGAAATTCCAAAATATACATTTTCTGCGTATTCACACAAGGCATCTTGGACTAAAATTTGGTGTTCTTAGGTCTTAAAGTCTCCGAGATATAAGCGATTATACGAATGGAAAATCGGGAAAACCCCCATAGGGGGGAAGTGGGGGGAAAATCAAAAAAATAAAACAAACCCGTATAGTGTATATACATAGGGCATCTTTGTGCAAAATTTGGTGTCTCTAGCTCTTATAGTCTCTGAGATCTAGGTGATCATACGGACGGACGGACGGACAGACAGACAGACAAGGCTAGATCGACTCGTCTCGTCATGCTGATCAAGAATATATATACTTTGTGGGGTCTGCCACGCCTCCTTCTGCCTGTTACATTTTTCAGCTCGCGCAAACCTAATATACTCTTGTACATTTCATGTACAGAGTATAACTAGTTTAATAAATTGTATATATGTAAAAAAAAAAATTATAACGCCTGAAAGTATGCAATTTTTTAATTTTCGAATTATGACAATGTATTTTTGTAGTTTGTTGCACATCACCGCAATATAATCCCAAGAGGGAATATATTCTACCACCTGGCTCCCGTATTGATGTTTTTAAAGCCGATCTCGAAAGAAGAATTAACCTGAACGTCGAAATTAACAGCCCAGAGGATATCGAAGACGCGATATCAATCCTCATGAAGAACATTTCACTGGCTGCGTCTTCTGCTGCACCGAAAACTTTACGCTTGCCAACCCAACATAGTCAAGCTAGTCTACCACCAACGGCTGCTGCGCTCTTAAGCCTGAAAAGAAGAGTCAGGAAAGAATATGCAAGAACTGGAGATACTCGCATTCATCAAATCTACAAAAGACTGTCCAATCGACTGCAAAAAGAGCTTGCTAAAATCAGACAAGGCAGAATTGATGACATATTGGAAAGTGCTGGTCCAGATGCATCATTTAATTACTCGCTCTGGAAGCTTACGAGGCGATTTAAGAGGCTGGTCATCCCTAAGACTCCAATTAAGGATCCTACAGGTGGATGGAGCTACTCCAGTCAGCAGAAAGCTGAAATCTTTGCAAACAGCCTAGAGGAAAGATTTAAGCCTTTTGACTTTACAACAGCAGATAGGCGAAGGGTAGTCGAGCTTAGGCTGGAGATGCCATTCCAAATGGCCTTGCCTGCAAGCCCAGTTACACTTCAAGAAGTGGTACAGCAGATAAAAAATCTAAAGGTAAAAAAAGCGCCTGGAGAAGACCTTTTAGACAACAGGACGCTGAAACTGCTCCCCACAAGGGCTCTGCTGTATATTGTCTTGCTCATGAATAACATACTCAGGCTGAGGCACTTTCCAAACTGCTGGAAAATGGCGCTAATTACGATGATTCCAAAGCCAGAGAAACAGCATACTGAAGTAGATGGATATAGGCCGATTAGTCTGCTACCTGCCCTCGGGAAGATGATGGAACGTGTGATTCTGGACCGGATTCTCCAGCTCGAAGCCGTGACGCGCAGAATTCCAAAATGGCAATTTGGTTTTCGAAGAAGTCACGGAACACCGGAACAGCTCCACCGTGTGGTCAACTTCGCCCTGGAAGCCATGGAGCAAAAGATGTACTCAGTGGCTGTGTTTATGGATATTAAACAAGCTTTTGATAGAGTGTGGCATGATGGTCTCCTCTGCAAATTGAAAGGCATGCTAACTCCTCAATTGTTTCAACTCATCGAAAGCTTTCTAAGGGACAGAAGCTTCAGAGTTGCTGTTGATGGAGTGAAATCCACGAGGCGCTCAATTTGTGCAGGAGTGCCCCAAGGCAGTGTTCTCGGTCCTACCCTGTATACATTATTTACTGCTGATATGCCTGCACCGCAAGAGATCATTGGAGTATACGAGGATGACGCACTAATAGCTACTTACGCAGACGACACTGCGGTGCTTACCAGAAGCAGAGATATCGATGTAGCTTCGGAAGCCTTACAGCAGTATGTAAGTAGTTTCGAGAAGTGGGCTCTGAATTGGAACATTGGTATCAACGCCAGCAAGTGTGCGAATGTCACATTTACAACAAGGCCGTCGTCATGCGGAGATATCACAATGTTGGGGTCCACGCTCAGTCATACAAATTCGCACAAATATCTTGGTGTAATTCTGGACAGAAGACTCAACTTCAGCAAGCATACAACAATGGTCAAGCGATCGGTCATGGCGAAAGCCGGAAAGATGGCATGGCTGCTTGCACCATGCAACAAGCTGTCCCTGCACAGTAAGGTGACAGTATATAAGTCCATATTAAGTCCAATATGGAAGTATGCGCTACCAATTTATGGCATTGCCGCTGCTTCAAACCTAAACAAAATAAGAGTTGCTCAAGCTAAAATACTCAGAAAAATATGCAACGCTCCCTGGTATATGCGCACTAGGGACATCGAAAGAGACTTATGTGTCCCCAAGGTTGGCGATGTCATTCAAATGCACGCAAGCAATTACGAGAAGCGACTCGGCAGTCACCCCAACGCACTAGCGAGGCGGCTCCTGTCCAAACCTAAGAAGAGAAGACTGAAGAAGTGCCATCCAAAGGATCTCCCCACAAGAGCCCTTGTATAAAATACATAGTATATATCATAAAATATAATCATTTTTCATGTAAAACATTGTAAATATTGTATATATGTACATAGATATAAGTGCGTCCTATAGATGCTTACTATAGACAACTTTTGTATTCCCTAACTTTCAACTAGCTTAAGCTGCCATATTGGTAGTAGAAAACTAGTTTAATAAATTGTATATATGTAAAAAAAAAAAAAAAAAAAAAAAAAAAAAAAGTTTGTTGCACGCATATGTACATATGATGTATCTATGCTCCTACGTATGGATGTATGTATGTACGTGCACGCATTTGCTTATGTATGGATGTATATACATATATTGTATTTTATTGTTCCATCTGAATGTCAGTTGTATGTGCTTTTGTGCTAAAAAATTAATTCATTATGCAATTGTTAATTGCTTATAATTGTATCGTATTTTTATTTCAAAACACAAACATTGGCAGTGTGCGTCTTTTACCTTTTCAGGACAATGGAATGAATATACCAACGTACCGCTAAATTTTTTAGTGGGGGGTATAATTAGGATCCCCTCTAGAGAGTCAATGATTATCCCCTTGCTATTAGAGATTCAACATGCCCATTATATTATCAAACACCATGCAGCAGGAGGTTCAAGTGCTAAAAGGTAAGCTTTTAAGCACAAGGAAAATGCTTTGACTCGGAAATTCCATTACTTTTCATAACTAATGAAACTCTTTCTCAATCGCAGATGTCTGCACTGAATGTACGTGAGCTCAACAACACACGAAAGGCCCAAATGGAACTGGTCTTCTTTAATCGCGTACCAAAGGTTGGCAGCCAAACGTTTATGGAGCTGCTGCGACGTCTCTCCGAACGGAACAACTTTCAATTTCATCGCGATGCGGTGCAAAAGGTAGAGACCATCCGCTTGGCTGAGGATCAGCAGCAAGAGCTGGCTGAGGTAATAAGTGAGCTGCCAGAACCATCCGTATTCATTAAGCACGTGTGCTTCACGAACTTCACGAAATATAGTCTGCCGACCCCGATATACGTCAATGTGGTAAGCTGTCTTTGGTCACATTTATTCCATTTACTATTAAAATCGTTATCCTCGGACAGGTACGCGATCCTATAGAACGTGTCATCAGCTGGTTTTACTATGTCCGTGCCCCGTGGTATTTTGTTGAACGCAAAGCGGCCTTTCCGGACCTACATATAGTATAGAGAGAGATATGAGATAATAGGGAGTTACTAAAATAATTCCAAGCTCTTAACGGTTTCGCTCCAAAGTTTTGTGTATACCACCATGAGAAGCTAGAGGATGGTCATGAGCATTTTGCAGCACAATTTGAACTAAAGGCCGAGGCACCCACAGCTTCCAAGCAAATGTACCGTGCAGCTGTTCATCGCGCACAAAATCTGAGCGACGATATACAAGATTATCGACAACTTTAACATCCGGTAGTTTACTTTCGTTCGCCTTTACGCGTTCTTTTAAATCTAAGTACTCGTCAGACTTGAACAAAGGTGAATCTTCGACAACTAACAAGCCATTCTCCAAATCTAAAGCGGCAACTATATACTCAATTTCCCATTCCTGTGTTCTATTTTAAAGCGAAATCCCTGCAACTTTAAAGCCCATCTGGCCAAATGCCAAACGAATGGAAATCGCCTTGTGACATAAGCCATTTTAACGAGGCGTGATCCGTGATCACTGTGAACTCTAATCCCTCCACATACGCCCGAAATCTTTGTATGCTATAATGGCAGCTAGGCATTCGAGCTCCGTAACTGAGTAATTCTTTTGAGCCTTGTTTAGTTTTTTGGAAACAAAAGCTATAGGATACTCATCGCCATCTCCCGTTTTCTGAACGAGTACGCCTCCGACACCAGTTTTACTAGCGTCACAATGTATAAAAAATGGTTTGGAAAAATCTGGCGCTACATAAAAGCTGCTTAAGTTTTTCAAATACCCCTTCTCCTTCGGCCGACATTGTAAACTTTTTCCAGCGGAGCTGACACTGAAGCAAAATTACTTATAAATTTCCTATACCACCCGGCCATTCCCAAAAAGCTCCTTAACGCCTTTAAACTTTTTGGCAAGGGAAAATTTGTGATTGCAGAAACCTTTTCGGGATCAGTGCGAATAACACCATCTCAAATAATATGGCCGAGATACTTGACTGAGCGCATGCAAAAATGACTTTTGTCTATATTGATTGTCAAGCCAGCTACGCGAATATGTGCTGCGACTGCACGCAGAACTTCCAAGTGAGCCTCAAAACTTTCAGAAATGATGACCAAGTCATCCAAGTAAACAAACACCTGATTTCTTAAGGCTGCCGGTATTACCTTATCCATAAGCCGTGACATTGTCTGAGGAGCATTGCATAGCCCAAACGGCATAACTTTATATTAGTATAGCGGCCTACCAGGGATCGTAAACGCTGTTTTTTCACGAGAGTCTGGATGCAACGGTATCTGTCATAATGCATCTTTTAAATCAATGCTTGAAATAACCCTTGCGTTAGGAAGCCGGCTTAGAATGCCATCTATCTGAGGGAGCGGATATGCCTCTATCAGAGTGACTGAACTTTACCGGGCTTTTGGACTAAAACAACAGGTGAGGACCAAGCGCTATCAGATTCCTCAATAACGCCTAGTTTTAACATCCAGTCTACTTCCTTCCTAGCTGGTAAAACTGGGAAATGACGATGCGAAATTAAACTTGTTTTACCCAATCCCACGACGCTACAAGATGGACAGCCATCTATTACTGACTTAAGCTGTTCTCTTTGCATGAAATATATGTAGTTGCAATATATGTAAGTAAGAAAATCAAAGCCAGAATTATATGCAAACAACCTGAGGGGTGTGCAATTGAATACCTTTTTATCTCACTATACCACCTAAAAAACTGCCGAAACATCTTAATTGGCTGCATTTATCGACCTCACCGCAACACAAACTACACTGATCTGATCAGTATATTTTCTGACATCTCAATGAACTATGAAGACGTAATTCTAACGGGTGATTTCAATTCCAATGCTCTGTGTGACGCTCGTCTAGTTGATGATATGGAGGAATTAGGCATGAAAATTGTTAATGCAACACAACCAACACATTTCTCACAAACCTCTAACACATTACTTGACCTTTTTTTTATTAATAATTTAAAGAAAATCTTACTATACGACCAACTTTCTGTACCTGTGTTCTCTAAACATGACCTTATCTTCTTGACACTTGACACTTTTATTGATAAAACTGACCATAAAATAGATTATAGAGATTTTAAGAATATTGACATTGCACAGCTAAATGACGAATTTTCTTTACTTGATTGGGACGATATTTACCGGTTACCCACGGTCGATTCTCAACTGCAACAATTCGAACACAAAATAAGCTACCTCTACCACAAATTCGTACCACTACGAACGAAAATCGTTAGACCCACACAAGAACCTTGGTTTAATGACACAATTAGACTTGCCATTAAAAAACGTAATGATGCATATGAAAAGTGGAAAAGATATAAATCTGAATATCACTATTCTAAGTTCAAATACCTCAGAAAGCAAGCATCTTGCTTGATAAATGCTGCCAAACGAGCTTATCATACTTCACAATTTAGCAATGCGATTTCAAGCAATCAGACGTGGAATAAGCTTCGTAGAATGGGTATTGGTAAAACGAAATCATTTCTTCCCTCCGATGTTGACGTGAATGAATTAAACAATAAATTTGTACAAATTGAAGTACCTGTCATTACGCATAATACATATGTAAACGCTGTACCTAATGTAACCTGTGATAGTAGTTTTAGCTTTCGTTGTGTCAGTCAATGTGATGTCCTAGAATCAGTTCTTAAAGTTAAGTCAAACGCGGTCGGATTTGATGACCTACACCCAAAATTCATCAAAATGATTTTACCTAAAGTCTTAGCGCATATTACACACTTTTTTAACACATCAGTTATGACTTCCTGCTTTCCTGATAAGTGGAAAATGTCAAAAATCTGTCCTATTTCTAAGACTAACAATGAATACCGTCCTATTGCTATTCTTCCTTATCTCTCAAAAGTTTTCGAGAATCTAATAGCAAACCAGATTAGTGACTTTCTAAACAAAAACCTTCTCTTATGCGATGACCAATCTGGTTTCAGAAAGCACAGAAGTTGTACCACAGCTGTCCTAAATGTGGTTGAGGATATTCGCAGTCAAATGGATACTGGCTGTGTTACTTTTTTAAGCTTACTCGACTTCAGTAAGGCATTTGATTGTGTTAATCATGAAATAATGTGCACTAAACTTAATAGAATGTATTACTTCTCAAAAACGGCAACAACTTTTATACATTCTTATTTGTCCAATAGGCGTCAAGCTGTTGTAATATCGTCTGATCATTCTTCGTTGTTACCTGTTAGTCGCGGTGTTCCACAGGGATCTGTTCTTGGTCCACTATTGTTCACCTTGTACGTGAATGACCTCCCTTATGTCTTGTCTAACAGTAAAGTCCACCTGTATGCTGATGATGTTCAAATGTATGTTAGTCGTCCTGTTACTAAATTAAATGAGTGTATAAGTGTTAGTAATGGTGAACTAGGTAAAATCTCTGACTGGGCTAAAAACAATGGGTTAAAACTCAATCCCACTAAATCTAAATGCCTAGTAATCTATAAAAACCAACTAAACACCTCAAACTTCAACTCCCTTGTGATTGGAGACACTCCGATTGAATATGTCGATCAAGCTAATAACTTAGGCTTCTGCTTCAACAGGAGCTTGACACGGAACAATCATATAAATAAGGCTGTTGGTAAGGTTTATGGTGCGTTAAGACTTCTGAACTTGACTCAGCAATTCCTACCTGTAAATCTGCGAATGATGATAGCGAAAACATTCATACTTCCAATGCTATCTTATGGTGTTGAGGTATATGCAAATTGTGACGCAATTTCATTCCGAAAACTAAAAGTCGCTTACAATAGTGTCGCTCGTTATGTTTTCGGTCTAAGACGCTCTGATCATGTCACCAGCTATGCATACCAACTTTTGAACTTAAGTATCATGTCTTGGATAAACTTTCGAGTTTTATTATGTCTACAAAAATTGATAAATACTAAGGAACCAGCATACCTGTATCAAAGAATTAAATTTTCCACATCTCTAAGAACTCATAACTTAGTATGTCAGCGCCACAGGCTTCTTTTATCCGACAGACAATTTTTCATATATGCTGTTCGCATTTGGAATGGACTACCAACACACATAAAAAACATCAGAAACGCTACTCAATTTCGAAGTAATCTAAAAAAATATCTTCAAAATTAGCATTAATAAACTGTCACGATAACAAGCATGACATATACAATCATTTTACAATGTAATTTAGTTTTAAGAAAAATATAAATTTTATTAAACTTATTTTAATTCTCTGTCTCAAATTTTAATATAATCTCATTATAAACTAACTAGTTTAGTACATATGTAAAACTCTTTATGTGACTAGTGCTATAACATATAAGTAACTCTACTTGTTGCGCTAGGAAGTAATTAACAATAAATAAATAAATAAATATTTGAAAGACAATTCATGACCACTGTTACTATTGCTCAATTCCGATATCTGCAATGGGGGAGGCAGCAGAACTCGATCCCTAGATACAAGCCTTGCCAGAGCGATGGTATAATATGAAAATCCATAATCTTCCGTTGGTCGTTGTACATACGCTTGCTAGTTCGCGTTTCATTGCCAATTTGCTTTTTATAACTTCTTGCGCAGATGCAATACAACTTAGCAGATCCAATACAACTTATCGCGGCCCCTGTATCCAGAAGCCCCCCAACTTCTCGCTCAAAACATTAATTTTCTGTGGCCAGTATGGTGTGTCAGTTACTGCGGTCACAATGGCACCCGGAGTATTTTTGCCTCCTACGTTGGCGTTACTGCTAGAGCTATCTATAGTTTTCCTTAGTCGGTGTTCGTCGCCTGATTCTTCGGAACACACGGTATTTGACGACTGCTTAGTGTGTTCCCCTTCGCGTTTTTTTTTTTTTTTTGCTTTTTTACACAAGTTGGCTTATAAGTGTTCCTAGCGCCGCACCCATAACAAAATACTTTGCGCTTTGCAGCACAATCTTGGTACCGAAGTCCCTCCTTGCGGCATTCCAGCATATGAGAGCTATAGCACCTATTTCATCTTCTTCCTCATCCTCTGAGAAATTGCTACCACTGTCAGACTTGTCTTCTTCGACCAACTCTGCAACCTGCCTTTTAAATGGGACAGCTTTTTGGTAACCTTGTCCACGTCTGTACGTGTATCACGAAATTGTTTACGCAGCGCGTTCCAAAACACTACCTGCGCTGTTTTGTGAAACCTCCAATAGAAATCGTTTGCTTTGCCTTCGAATAATAAACTAGCATTCCCACAAAGCAATGAAAAATTTCCCTCCAACGCACTATGGTTTTTTTGGCAGAAAGTCAAAAAAATTTTGTCCAAATATAAAAAATTGTATTTTTATTTGATTATAAATTGTTTATTTAAGCGAAAATTAAATTAATTCATGCTGATATGGCAACACCATTTTCTTGGCGCGCAGTCAAAGTTACCTGATTGTGTGAAGCACATGTAATTGTGATTTTGACAGCAATTTTTGGTAAACTTTCAGAGCTTCCAGAATTAAGAAAACAACCAACAAAAGTTAAGTTATATAATGGAAAACGTTAAGCAAGGTATGTAAAATTATAATCCAAAACTATTTTTAAGCTATGAAGTGTGTTCGTGTAATTGTGCCATGTGTTGTTCATGTGTTTTTTTTTAAATTAACCTTTATAAGTTGCGCTGTGTTTCGGGGAATAGTAAAGAGTTGCATGTTGCATGAGTTGAATGGTAAAGTGTTGCAAAAACTTATAAATGTGGAAATAGTAACTAATATATGTTTGTTATGGAATTACTAAAGAACTTCGTCCCAATTTGCACATTTTCTGTAAAATTGCGTTTGTTGCCGTAAAACTACTGTTTGGGCATGCAAACATTGTTGACATTTGTAGCAGCAACAAAGGCTCAGAATACGCATTTAAGCAGAATATATTACAGAAAATTAACGTAAGCATCTTAGATGAACACAATACTATGTTAATATCGGTAAAAGTAAAAACCTTCACCAATTATATTAAAAAACCCTTTAAAGCCATTCAAGAAAAACACACAAATTGTTTTGCTTTTAACATGATTGTTGATGCTGATGGCGATTTTCAGCCGTGATAGAAAACGGTACAGTCAAGAAATCCCGACAGTGAAATACCCTGTACCAAGATAAACTTCAATCACTGAGTTATATACGCCCATAGCGAAGAAGAAGAAGATGAGGTAGCTTGATGCTGTAGCTTATGGGCGTAGTACTAGAGTGAAATAACTTTTCTAAAAAATTACAGATCTGATTGAAATTTAAAACAAAGATGGATTCTATATTAATTACGTGTGCAAAGTTTTGTTTATGTAGCTTTTGAAATGTGGACAGTACTAACGAAATTCTGTATCTTGGTAGAGGGGGGAAATCAAAACAAGAGAGAACGCTACAGTCGAGCAAGCCCAACAGTGTAATACCCTGTACCCAGGTAAACTTCCGTCACTGAGTTATATACGCCCATAGCAGCAGCAAAAAGAAGAAGAGCGAATTTTTGTGGTTTTTTGGGAGGGTTGTACTGGCGAGAATTTGTTTCGCTTGTAACTTTTCGTAGAATTGACCGAATTGAATAAAATTTTAAACAACAGTAGATAATATATATATATAAATTATGTATGCAAAGTTTGGTTTAGGGAGCATTTGAAATGTAGTCGCTATTGACGAAATTCTGTGGCGGGGGAAGGGGGGGGGGGGGGGGGGGGGGGGGAAATTCCAAAAAATAAAATAAACTCGTCCTTTCTCGGACCTAGGAGAATCTGGATGCCAACTTTGGTTATTCTAGCTTTTATAGTTTCTGAGATCCTTGCGTTCATCCAGACGGACAGACAGACGGACAGTAACATACTTTGCACAAACCTAATTATACCCTTTTTACTCTACGGGTACTCTTTAGTCAGCCAAAATAAACAGGCTCACCAATGCTAATTCTTTTGTTAATCTTTTTTCCCTGTGTATATTTCCTGTTCATTTTCGAAAATCCATAGTATTTATATACTTAGCTTATGTAAGTACAGAAGCGCATCCTAGAGCTAGCGTGCGTGAATATATTGAATTCATTCTAATTGTGATGATTTAATTTGTTGAAATTTGTGTTTAGTTTTTATATATTATAAATATAAGGTTGTAAGCAAATCAATGTATTAATAAAAGCCAATCGATTATGTTCCGAAAATATATTTATTTATTTTGAAAAGTTGGAAAAAATAACTGAACCGCATATAAAAATAAACATATGCGAAAAAAGAAATCAAATTTGTTGCAAAAAAAAAAGAAAATAAAACAAACTTGTATAAATGTAGCAAACGCAAAGAATTAAAATCAACAAAATGTTTATTTATCATATAAATTCCACTGCATTTATACTAAACAAGAAAAAATATAATTCAATTATAATTGAAAATTGAACACTTTGTGCCTTTCTTTGAGTATATGTGTTTATATTAGTTAGACAAAAAACCTGAGCCATTTACCTATAGTATAGTTAAAATGTAGCAAGCAAAGAATTTAAAACGATAAAGATAAAAAATATATTTCTTGAACACTTTGGCGTTTTTCTCGGAGTAGGATGTATGTTTACTTCAGTTTAAAATACTTTTCGATGATTGTTGATTGTTGTTGATTTTCCTGAAGAAATATGTCTCTCCTAAGGCTGTGGAAACGAAATACATATCACATTAGCACTGCGAAATGGAACTACTAGAAGCTCCTACCTCGGATTGCCATAGAAGGCGTAAACTTTATTCGAGTTCATATCTTCACCAGGCCCACTTATTCGTCGCCTTACAAGCCTCCCTTCGTTAGCTTCTTCTATCCTCTCGGTTGCACGCAAGTATTGCGCCTCCGTATCATTGGTAATCTGCTCTAATACACGTTCATCGTTGAGCCGCAACCATTCCTCGGGATCGCTTTCTGCATTCACGTCTAGCAGATGCGGCTGCTGGCGCCTAACTATTTCGCCAAATATGTCATTGCACAGCAAAACCTTGGGGAGCTGGTATGCCTCTAAATGTAAACGGTGGCGCGCCAAATACAATAACCAAATTTTATGGTAGTCCTCGTAACGGTACTCAATTCGTTGACCATCAGGCGCAATTCGAGCGTTCAGAAAGACTTCATCAAAATCCATTTCATCAGCACTGAGCACTTGGAGGTAATGATTGTCGCGCCGCAGATAGTCCCACTTGTCCACATCTAGACCACAAACTTTATTGTGCACAATATCAAAGATATATGCATGCTGCATCATTACATAGTTCAGCTTGCTCCTGTCGCCCAAAATTAATGCTTTTATGAGATTTACGCCACGTCCATTATGGTCATCCCGCAACGCGACAAGTTCGTTGTCCCTGGCATCGCTGAAAACCCTATCAACACAAGCCTCACTATTTTTCTCGTGCTGTGAATATTGCATAATATCATATTAATTCGCTCTGTCAACAATGGGTCCACTGTTTTCACTCAATACTCACGTTAAATTGTCCTTCGCATACGTGCTCCCAAGTGTGCGAAAACGGTCCATGGCCAATGTCATGCAGCAAGGCTGCAATTTCGACGGACTTACGACACCAGTCCGGCAGTTCGTATTCGTAATTCGAATTCCGGAGTAGAGCATTCAACTGGTCTTGGGCGCTCTTGAAGGTGCTGTTATTAAAGAATAATTATTAATACCCACTAAGAAAATTGTATTGTCTTTTTATCGACTTACCCAATACAATGTTCGAAGCGCGTGTGATTGGCGCCAGGCTTTACTGACAGCGGTAGTAAGCCTAACTGAAAAACCTTCTTCAATCGTTGAAAATATAAATGCTGCGTTATTTCTTGGATGTAAGAAGGCAGATCTATGATACCATGAATGGCATCCTGAATCTGGGCCTGAAATTACAGTTAAAGTAACAAAAAAAGATTTAATATAAAGTAATAATATTCAGATAATAAACTTAAACGTAGAGTAACAATATTCTGATATTTTGATTTTCAATAATTTGGTTTGATTAACCAGCTAGATCCAAACTTTTTACGAGCATTTTTGTGCACACAATCTAATAATTTGTCATACGTTGAATTATTTGATAAGATTTTATAAATTTGAGTACACAATTTTGTCGTTACTTTTCTAAGGTATATGTTAGAATGTACCGTCACATTCTATACAATTGCATATGACCATGCAGAAGACATAGTATATTTGATATCAATTGAAATGCGATTTAGATTATATGATTTTAGATTATATGGCAGAGACGCAATTGCTGAAAATGCCATCGAGTTTACGCAGGACATAACATGTTTTGAACAGAGTTAAATAAGGCAATAAAACGTTATTATAATGTCACACCATGTTATATTTTACGATGAATATGTATTGCAAATTAGATAATTTCACTTCTTGGTTTAGGCCCTCCAGACAAACCGCCCGATTTGTTCGCGATCAGAATGCAGACTGCATTCACAAATAGTGGACAGCCGTTAAAAAACTCGCGGGGAATTACAAACGAGGGCTGCACTCCAATCAGTTGTTTAAAAACTAAAAGGTGGCAGCCCTTATATGTAATCGGATATACATACATATGTGTGTATGCGTGTGTGTTTGGTGCGACGTAAACAAATGCCTGCTGGAGAAGCGCATCTATGGTAACCAATAAAACAAAAACACCCAATCGTTATGATGAAGTTAAATACATACGTATGTATGTATTAATCGAAATGAACCCACTCTTGTTGCTGTCAACGCGTCATCGTTATTTCTCAGTGATTGGCATTGTTGTTGCTGGCGCAGACTATGCAGAAGTGGTACGGACTGCGACACATTTAGAGCTGATCTAGCACCATAAACCAGAACAGTGGCCGAGACTGGCATCACGCGTGAAAGACGAAGACAGCAGTGGCCGCGGCACCACAGGAACGGCAACAGCGTTCTCGTTTTCAGTTTTTTTTTTGTTTATTACGAATGACTGATTTTTATTTGTACACAAATGACATTGTTGCCTAGCCTACGTCACTAACCAATTGAAACGTATGTGTGTGTACACTGTCGGACTGCGCAGAATTACCGAACAGATGCTTGTCAGCTGTGCAGGGTTGCCAGTCGCCCTGTTTGCGGCTTCCGTAACCATAAACACATGTACCCATGCCCACATAATGCATGCATGCATGTATTTATTATTTATTTATTTAGATAAATGTGCTTATTTTCAAGACTGACTTTGCATGTATATGGTACTTCATTAAATGAAAAAAAAAATTAGATTTATTAATGAATGAACAATAAATCAAATTTAAATTATAATGCCTGAAAGTATGCAATTTTTGAATTTTCGAATTATGACAATGTATTTTTATAGTTTGTTGCACGCATATGTACATACGATGTATCTATGTTCCTACGTGTGGATGTATGTATGTACATGCACGCATTTACTTACTTATGTATGGATGTACATACATATATTGTATTTTATTGTTCGATCTGAATGTAAGTTGTATGTGCTCAAAAAACTTGATTCATTATGCAATTGTTAATTACATCGTATTTTTATTTCAAAACTCGAACGATTTAAAAACTGAGTGTCAAATTAAGTCTCTTGTAACAGCTTACCGGCTTTTGTTATTACTTTACGAAAATTTGCAACACGTGTGTACCTTCGTGGAGAGGCGGCATCTAAACATACATTTAAGAGCACTGGTTAAGAGAAAAATGGATATAGTTCTCATGAAAAGAAAATGGATGAGTGTTTTTATTATAAAAAGTCATGACATATTATAGCCAGACGCCAATGTGGTATAAACTTTTTTCTGCAACATTGAATGGAGCCTATTAATTATACGTACATATGTATGTGTGTACAATGTACATACATAAACAACGTTAAAATGACGCCGGTTTCACATTTGACTGTCGGTGGAGAGGGCATTCGGTTAAGAGATACAGAGACAGATAGAGAGAGGAAGGAAGAGGTGCGTTAATTAAAAATTCAGTTGCATAGTGGGGATAAGGTAGTAAAAATTCTTTTAAACACATTAATTCAATTCGATAAGTACAAAAAACCTCTAGTACATAACCTAAAAAAACCATAAAAGATGTAAAATCATTTATCATAGCTTTTGAGTGTAACATTTCCTTAGAAGAATAACACAATGATAGATCCTGTTACAAAACAAAGGTTTATTGAGTACAAGTATTAATTTCTTCTTTTTATAAAAATGTATTAATCATTTCAATTAATTAAAAACAAATCATAAAATGCAGCACCTACGTAGATTCATACATACACACAAGTACATGCCATTGGGTTTGCGGATATGTTTTTGTTCAGTAAATTTGTGTACTTTAATGAATACAGCAACAATACACAGCATATGTACATACATACGAGTATGTATGTATTTTATTTATTACTTAATATGTATTGTTAAGGTGCTAAGTCTGTATGCACGGATTCAATGCTTATATTAAACACAGAAAAAAATATATTAAAAAAATTACTTCCTGCAGAAATAACTTATCATAATGAAACTTGGAATGAGGACACATACGCATTTACAGTTAACAATTTAAATTTAAGTACAAACTACTAAAGATTACAAGAGTTATTCAATACCACACATTACCCTTTGGGAACAGTGTTTTAAACCCATTTAAGAATACAAAACAAATCTACCATATCAATACCACATACAATTTTTTTCCCTTTGTTCTGGTAACAACTTTTTTTTATAGTTGCTCCTTAGGTTCAACTTTATACTGCGCATACTTACGTGTACATATATAAATAGAAATAATGGAAATGTATGCAATATAATTATATATTATATTTTATAATCATAGAATTGATAAGTATTTTATTCTCCCTGTTTTTAATTTATCGACGACTTCATGCAGGTCAAAAACAGATTTGCTTTGAAGACTATTACCATTTCAGCTTTTTTCTAGCTAAATTGTTTCGTTTTTTGACCAAATCTTGAAATGATTTCCTGCTTTCATGCTAACATAGTGTCGTTTATGAAACCCGCCTATTGGTTTTTGGACTTACTCGGTAAAGTTATACTCGTATCCCAATATTTTTCTTCCATCTTATAGTCCCAATGTCACCTACTCGCAAACTGTAAATGGCTATTAAGAGCGAGAAAGAGAGTATTGTTAAAGTCTATGAGGGGAGCATGCAAGAATGTTGGACTGACGATGAAGGCCCAAAACACTTTACCAGCTGTTAGTTGCCACACGACAGGACAACCGAACAGGTTACGCTGGCAGGCTGCCACCCGTTGCAGCAACAGCGGCCGCTGGGCTAAATAAAATTAGCATAAATCTGAGGCAATACGTAAGTGTATCTGAAAGATACAACTCAGCATATCGAGAAAAATCGGCAAACTGCAAATTAATACTAATTAAAGCACTTCGTGCGTGCTGGACGACGGCCCAAAGAAAAAGACGACCTCACCAAAACCAACTCAAATGATAGTGGGCGCCCGTGCGCTGAGAGCATATCTTTCTTACGCTCTTTGCGAAAAATATATGTATCTAAAAAGCCCGTTCTCTCGCCGCCGAAAAGACGCATCGCATGCTGACTGTTCCGTTCTGTTCTGTTCTGTTATGTGTTGTGCTCTGTTTGCATGTAAACGTGTGTGTTTGTGTGTGTGCTTTGTGCTGTGTGCTACGCTTCTACGACCTTGCAATGCCCTTGAATGACACTCTTATTGCGACCAAGTCGTCGTCGTTGCTACTACGACGGGTGCTGCTGCCACGGTTGCCACGGTTGCTGCGACTACTGCTGGCAAAAATGAAATTAAATTAAAAATTGTGTGTTGTATTTGCGACTCTGGTGTGCGACGAAAACGACGTCGCCGATGACGACGGTGTGTGCTCCTCCTTTTTCATGTTAACCTTTTTATATTTCTATATCTCGTTATCAAACTAACGGGCGCAAAACTTCAGTGCTAAGCTTCGGCGCGTTGACAGTCAATTAGAAGTGAACCGAAAGTAAAAATGCGAGATTAAATGCCCAGAAAAAAAGCAAAAATAAAGTACAACATACCTCGCCATTTTTGGACAGAAATTTAATCGAAGCCAATTGCGTATAACTTCAATCCATTTTAAAACATAAAGTAAAGTGTTATCTAATTTACCGTCCATAAGACAGCCAGCGCCACCTGGCGGCGTGAACAAAACACTGTGTGTGTATGTGCTTGTTACTATACATACGTAAATGTACCACATAACGGGAAGTTGGTCATAGAAAGTGAAAGTGCACACGAAACGGACCGAGGTTCATTTGCTCGCTCGCCATTCAATATCCTTCCCTGCCGAATCGGGCTACTTAACGGGGCATAGGCACGCAATCAACATATAACCATCACTCGACGGATACACTATATGTATGTGTATATATTTATATACATAAATACATATATATGTACATATATTTAAATGTGTATACATACTCTCTATATGCGTGGGATATTTGGGCGACAATTTTAACAACTAATATATATTGTTGCTGCTACAAAAAGCAAGCAAAATAAGAAAATAAACAGCTGAAAGAGCAACGCCTTGGAATTACAACAAAAGCAAGTTAGTATTAATAATAAGTGTTATGCAGAAACGTTGTTTGGGGTAGTTTTGAGTACATGTACATTTGTATATACTTATGTACATAGTATATAGTACCCTCAAATTAGTTTTTATTGTATGTATATTTTTATGTTTTTAGTTAATTTAGTGGCCCAATCAATATAAGTGTGTATAAATATGAATATACTCGTATGTATGTAAGCATAATTCGACAAAGCGATCTAGTTAAAAACAAAAAAAAAAGTTCAATTACTATGGTTAATTGACTCTTTTGTGCGTGAAGCTAAATATGATTGGACATACATACATACATACTTTTGTACGTAAAGCTACAGATGTATATATGTATGTTCTTGTATCTATCAGATAATCTTGAGATTGAGTCGGCTATGTGCAGGCAACTTGCACACATGCGAAAACTTTAATTTATTATACAGTTGAACTCTCTATAAAACTTAAATTATCAAGAAAATAAAAAATAAAAATAAAAATAAAAAAAATGGTGTTTGAAAACAAATATCTTAGAAGGACAATTATATGAGCCAAACTTGGTATATACACGTACCCCTCCCCATACTCAACCAGCTGCTGATGCCGCTCTGGTTCAAGTACGTACTGCGCACAAAATCATGGACAGAAGCCGGGTGCACAATTGAAAATGTACCAACATCTTATTCCCACGTGTTATTCGGTTTTAAAATCTGGGTGTAATAGAAGTTTGCGAATTAATTATCACCCACTTCGCGACGTCTCAATAATTAACAAGAAAGGAATGCTAAAGTCGAGCAAGCTCAACTCTTAAATACCCTGTACCACCCCACAAAAAAATAAATTAATTTAATTTAATTAATTAATTAATGTAATTTAATTAAATTAATTTAATTAACTAAATTAAATATAAAATATTCCATACATGCATTCATACATTTACATCAGAATTTGTGTACTTGTACATATGTACATATGTATGTGTGCATTGGGCATGGTTATATGGCTATACCTTTCTTTCTGATCAACCTATCATAATGCAACTTTGTATACGGATATATAATTACTAACTGGATGTCTACGGACATGGCTATATCGACTCGTCTTCTCATCCTGATCAAGAATATATATACTTTGTGGGGTCTGCCACGCCTCCTTCTGCCTGTTACATACATTCGCACAAAACTAGTATACCCTTTCCTTTCCCTTTGGATACAGGGTATAAAAATATTCTGTAGGTGTGTGTGTACATACATCAAGAACCGATTACTGACCAGGTTACTGAGGATAAGCACGACAAAAAAAAAAACACAACTCAGTCTATATATTTTGACTATTGGACTTTCAATAAGAGATAGCAATGAATTGAAAAAGCAATTGATTGATTTTTCTTATTTTCATCTTAAACTTATTTACATACTTTACATAATAATATCGAGAAAATGTACTATATATCGGTAATGAACAATGATACAACCATTTTAGTTATATTTGGGATATATCTTTATAAATAAGTAGGTATCATATAAATATGATATACTTGTACATACATATATGCATACATATGTAGGTATGCATGAAAGAGTATAAAGCGAATAGCTATTTGATGATGAAACAGTGATAGTTTAAAAAATTATTAATAAAATGTATAGCTACCCTCTCAATAACTTTAAGCCCTTACGCCGTGCCTTGCCGCGTATTTTCTCTTCCTCTCCCTCTCTCACTCTTACTCTCTCTTTCAACTTTTCTGTAACCTTTTTTCTCTTTAGCAATCAAAACAAAACAATCCACGCTGCCATTATCGGTTACGGTTAAAGTATCGGTGCCCCAAGCAATTACCATAAAAACAATATAAAAACAATATATTGTGTATGTATGTACATATGTATGTACACACACACACTGTATGTTTATGTGTACGTGTATGCGTATGTGTGGGTGAGTGTATAACCAGCTTAAGGGAAAGCGAAAGCATGTGGAAATCTAAAGTATCTGTATCTGTGAATGTTGGAGCAGCTCCTCCATAAACGGCACACGCGCTTTTCACATCATTGTTGTTGCTTCCAGTTGTTGTTGTGTCCAATAATTTGTTGTTGCGGCGCTTAGCTTTGTTTGCTTTTGACATTTCGTTGGATGGCAATGTCATACAAATATAAATAAAATATGTACATCGCTACTGGGACAGCCACCCACACCAATCACGCACACCCACCGCACAAACACATACATATGTACATAAGTTATGTACATACATATGTATGTAGATACAGACTCAAATATACAAGTAGAACCAAAACATTTAGTTCGAGTGTCGAATATTAGTGTATTCATTTGCAAGATCTAGAGTTTAAGCCACATGAGTAGAAGTGGCTGCTAGTTCGCTCGCAAAGACTTCAACTTCACTAAAACCCTTGATTTTGGCTTGAAATGCGCAGCATTTTAGCCGCACCGAAGACGTCATAGGCTACGTTGGGGCCAGGATATAAATCATTTCGGCAGCCACTGCCAACGTAGATACAACGCAAAAAGCGCTTGGCTCTTTGGCCAATTCACCACATAGCCGCGTATACTACGTAAATTTATATTTTGTTATATTTATAAATAAAGCCCACGCCAACGCAGTCAGCTGTTATGGTTGCCATTGGAAAATTGGATAAGCTCTGCAGCAACCAAAACATACAAATAGTAAAAGTAATTAATGTATATGAACATACAAATACATATACATTTTATATTATATAAATATAAATATACATGTATACATATATTATAAACAAATAAAAACTACAAAGCATTACACTATGTAATGAATGGCAGTAATACATAACTTGTCGGAGTGAATGAAAGCAAATGTTCCTCATGATATAAAATTGCTAAAAATTCCTATAAATCCTATAAATAAATAACTCGAAACAATTTTCAGTACAGTTTTCAACAACTCCTTATCTTTATTCAGCAGCTTAACAGCATATTAATTTCTTGAAATAAGCGGAATAAATGGAAAACTAGAGTTGGGTATTCAATGTAACAACAATAAAAATCATAGTCTGCTTTTTTAAAAATCAGAGAGCATATAAATTTACAAAATGATTGGAAATTAATATGTAGTTAATTACAATAACCGATTACAATGTTGATGAGTTTAGTTACACCTATGTAGCGCTTATTGCTTATGAAATAGTTTTTGTGAAGTCAACGCATTTTTATTTACGGGCTAACCAATGGGAGGGTTACACGTGGCTGAATTAATTTAAGTATTCATACTTCATTGATCAGTGGGTCAGTGCTACGGCCACCGACTTTTTTATAAATGGGGGGACTATAAACTTTTGCAAGACATACTCTTAAATAGTAACATCTCTGTTTTGTTTTCAATTAGAAAATGTCAATAGCTGCATACTTAGGTATATACATATCTATTAGCGTGGTCGTATTTTGAAGGTCATCGCAGTTTATTTGTTACAATGCAACACGAAATGGACTCTAGGCGGTTAATCTCTTTTCTACAAATGTACGATATTTCCTAAAACCTAATCCGTGTCATGCGAAACTTGTCGCTACCTGATAACTGCACTAAGCCCATCATCCTCATGGGGTACTTGTACATATGTGGACAAATACATATGTATATGTAAATGTACACTAAAAAAAACACGTACATTTTAATTTAAATATTTCCACGTCGATTTAAATATTTTTACCGTCGGCTTTTCACCACAATTTGTTTTGGTAACTTGAAGTGTGAACACTTTAATTCCGATTTTAATGTAAGAATAAGGGAAATGCTATGATTGGGTGCCTCGATTTTAAAATACTCTGCACTAGTATGTGTACAATAATAGAAAATTAACAAAAATTTAAATCAATTTTGGACACAGATCACATTTATACCTATAACTTCCTTTCAAATTGACCAATCATGAAGAAAATTGGCATACGGCCACATGGAATTCAATATGAAGATAATCATCTGTACCATGCAATTATTGAAGTGAAAACTTCTAAAGGTCAGTTTTAGCTTTTTTACTGTGAAGTAATATTGGTGCCACAATAACCAATAATATTATGGAAGTTTGTTCGAATTCGGCTTCTGCATTGCTATTATATTCTAAGAATGAAACAGAAGACCATGACTAAGAAGACCAAGACTAAGATATACTGTAAATAGTATAGATTTCATTGAAATGTCTATGAAAAACGACAGATATAAGAATATGTAATCTAAAATGACAATATCAATATTAGTTTGTTGTTGATTCAACTAAATAATCCAGTATGTTATATAAATGTTGTTACAAGTTCCAACTTGGAAATATGTTTTCACCTTTATTACACCATCTCTTTTTTCTGAGTGTACGTATGTGTACCTTAATAACCGAAACACATAGCCGCAATCACAGCCAGTTCCAGCTAGATTGACAACACTTAGAATCGCTAGTGGCTGATAAGTGATATCGATAATGGATAACATCATAGATGCGCCCTTATCTGAATGCAGTACCTGGGCATAGGGACCATGGCCATCGATTTATATTTTTCATTTAGCCCTCACAGCATGCTTCACAGAAGAGCACGGCAAAGGTGCAAAGACGATGTCCATGAATTAGCATTCATTTGTGTTTCTGATCACGACCGTTTCCGGCGTCGCGACGCGTCGTTGGTAACTGCAACGAAGTGGCAGCTGCACTTTGTTCGAATAGGTTGCTGCGACTGCAAAGACGAGACGGCCATACACATGCGCATCAGTGTCAGAACAGACGCCGGCGAGGCGTTCGATTTGTTGTCCGCCTTATCAATCCGCGCGAATTTGCTTTATGCCAAAAAAAAATCGGATTCAGTGCATTCTCGCCACCGTGACGCTGCAGTCGTGAACGTGGTGTGCAGTGAGACGAAGTCGCAGAGCGGCAAGTAAACCCCAGCCTATATCCAAGACGCTGTGATAGCAACACTAACAACCAGTGTGTGTGTGTGTATATACATACATATGTGCTTGTGTTCTAACAATTAACTTACATATACGCTGCCGAGACCTCGGAGGGCTTATCCCAACACAGCATCTACGGCATTGAATGTGAGAAAGAGTGTAAGTATTTAGTGCATGTGTGATTGCTGAAAAGTGTTAGTGAGATGACGATGTACTCGTACACGCTGAATCGTAAACTGAGCTCTGATTTTTTTTATTTTTATTACGAATATTACTGTTTACGTGCCTTTTGCCGCTTGCTAAAAATAACCGCAATGATCTATCAAAGATTGTGATCGAAACGCCGCTCCGTAATAATTAAGGGCAACATCAGCCGCAGCCCCTTGTCTGGCAGGTGATAATGCGAAGCGCTTTCAAATAGGCGCGAAGGGCCCACAAGCATTCACATGCTAATGGCGCACTATTTAATACACTGAAGAAACACTTTCAATGTCTGTTTTCTATAAGCCTTGATTAATATCTTGCTTATACGCTTTCTGAATTGTTTCCAGCTATTGAACCAAATGAACAAAAATGTCAATGAAGACTCAGGCTAAGTTATTTTGATGGACCCATGCTGACACTTTAATAAATTGATAAAAAGAAGAGAAGAGAGAAGCTGTTCAACACATTTGGCCCAATTTAATTCAATTAAGTTTATCATAAGAATAACTATACCTACTATACAAGTAGTATAGTATATACAAATATTTGACAACTGCGTGCGCCTAATCATGTGAACGCACTATCATGGAAATATGGTGCGAACATTTTCCGATTCATCCAAAACAAAACACACTTTTTAATTGGCAAAGCATAAATCACCAAAGCAGTTCGGCAAGGGAAGGAGAATAGATTGTATAAATAGAATTTTATTAATAGATAGATGTTTTTAAATACACTCAGACAAACATTAGTACAAATATGTACATATGTATGTGTTTTCTCAGTGTCTAGAAACATGTTTTTTTCAAATTGATGTACTGCCATGGAAGAGTTCAACTTTTTACTCTTTAACACTGAACTTGTATACCCTTTTGCCCATTGGGTAGTACTAGAGAAAGGTTTACAGAAAATCATTTAAATCGACACATTGTATTTTAATTATTTTATTTGTATTTTATTTATTTCGGCCTATGGATTATACCAACCAACTATTAATTACGTATATATAGTAAGTTAATATCTTGAGCGTCTCTCAATTACAACGGATTTCAATTCTACTTGGGAACTGAATATTATGGGTAATTTTGAATTTGATTAATTTATTTATTTCTGCTACGGTGCTAAGTAGAGAGCTAGAGTTTATTTTCTCTAGCCGTAAACGAGAGTAACGATAAGCATCTACTTACGTCATTTCCTACCGAACCTGAAACGCATTTAGGCACTTGGCCCTTAGCCAGTTTCTTTAATGTTCGGAACGAACAATTTTAATTTCGGTGCACATACAAACTCGTATACATATAGTACATAAGTATTTACATACATACATGCATACACTCGCAAAGGGAAAATACTACAACGGTGCGATATTCGCATATCTTGAAAAAATCGCCGGTAATTGAACAATAAAAAAAATTCTCTATATTCGTAAATACTTAAGTGAAAACGCCATACATAAGCACAAATTCTTCTTACACACATACATACATATTACACATATCAATACATATGATTTAATACATCCCTGATAATTGTTTTCCACAAGCAATAAACGGAAATTAAGCCCACACATTTGACCTTTTTAATCGACATACTTATTTATATGTAGCTGCGGTACGTTATACTGCTCCCTGGCGATTTCTTTTTTATACAACTTTGTCTGCATCGCACAAAGCAATTAATTGGTTAAAACAAACTTGTACCGCTTAGTTAAATTTCCTATGCATGCTGCCAAAGAAACAAAAAATAAATAGAGAGAGAAATGTCGCTGTCGGAGGGTTCAAGGCCCATTTACATAGCATTGATCGCACGTTAATTGTTTGGGAAATCGGTTGCCCGACTGAGGTCTTCATTGAACATCGCGTGGCTGGGAGCGGGCATCAGGGACAAGCTGTGGTCCCCACACCTGATCAACGGCAGCAGAGCACGTGTGGTCCCAGCTAATCAAAACAATAACAGAAACACTTGCCAATTTTGCTGGCGACAAGGCGGAAAATGCTTTTTTATTTAAAAAACGGATCGTCTTTTTCGACTTTTTAGCAAGTAGTCTGTTTGCAGTGAAATAGTTCCCTTAGGCGGATTCTAGTGGCCGGAAAAGTGTCAAAAGCTCCACATCATATGACATGCTATGGTATAATATTTTAGCTAACCCGCTTGTCATGTCGGGCCAATATAGAGACACGCATATATATTTTTGACAGCTGCCTTGACTTTTTTTAAAGATTCCGATTCTGATCTGCAATACAAGTATATGTATACCTACGTGTGTATATACTTATATACTTATTAACTTGTATATATTTCACGCATACATACGAGTATGCAAAGACGAAGATGAATACCTTAATTTGGAGTTCAAATGGGTCAGCTAGGAATACCAGATAAATTGAGTAAATTATCTTTGAATATAAGTAGTAGGTAAAAAAGCAAATACGCATTAAGTACTATGTACTACAAGTATAGTATATGTATATATAATGTAAAGCTGTGAAAGAGGCATTAAATAAAATCACATTTAAATAATAACAAGAGCAATCAGATTCTTTTGAGCAAACTTATTTGTTTACTCAAGACATTTAAGCTAAAGTGCTTCACTGACGCGTCTTCGACTCTCGTTTTCTTACAGATATTTCGCAGTACGTTGCAGCCGCAGGCTTGGGACGTAAATGAGCGAACCCGGCGATTTACCATTGACACACAGTAGCACACCGGATAGCAGGCCGCCCTGCAGCATTATCTCAATCATACCAACCATAGGGATGTCATCATGCCGTGGTCGAGCCGAGGCGTTTGCGAGAAGTTTGTCCTCCAAACTGCGCACATTGGGTTCCCAGGTAAGCGGTCGACCACGCCTATTTCAGGTCATGCTCTCAATTATTTTTGTATCCCTAGACCAACGAAGAGGGCGCCAGTGCAGAGGACGAACCGATCATAAATGGCACCAACACCAATACCTGGGTTAACCCAAACGAATCAAAACAGACTGTCACCGATCTCCAGCCGCTACGCCACGAGTCGGACTCCTTTTTCGATTTCGACTGCGAGCTGGAAAGTCCGGGTAGCCCAGTGGATGAGTGCGAGTATCTGCGCCTCATCGAAACCGCTTCTAATACGCCGCACAACTCGACGGCGGTGTCGGGATATGCCTGCGCCTCGGCTGCAAGTAGCCACAGCAGCACAGACGGTCCCTATTTTGATGCCCCGAGTGGCGCAACAGCCTCAACAACAACAGCGGACCAGCTAACAGTCACTACACAGCAGCCCCACCGTAGTAAGCTTCCGCCGGTCGAATTGAATGAGTTTGTGAATGCCCTACAGCTTAACGGTGCGCCGGAGCTACTGACAAATGGAGGCTTGGAAGCGCACGAGCAGCCCGCGATAGGGGAGGAGATTGAAAAATCGGCAACACAGACAGAAGCAGAGACAAAAGCAGAGACAGAGGCAGAGGCAGAAAATGTTGTTGTGGAGGATGAGATCGATCTGCAGGCACAGATACTCAGCGAACTGCAGCAGCAGAGCGACGACTATATAAATTCAGGAAACGGAGACATCAATATCCCAATCTCAGAGCAAGCAGAGGTACAAGAGGAGGAGCTAACAGCAGCTGACAGTAGACATACAGAGCAGCAACCGATTCAGGAAAATGTAATAGTGTCGCCGACTACATCGACGACAAATAAGGAGCAGCTTGGGGAAGATGAAACCGACAAAAATTACAGCATGCAATTGACTGTTGATGTGAACATTGCACAGCTCGAACAAGGCAATGTAGATGTAGCAGAGCCCTCGTCGGCACCGGAGAAGATGACCCACAGCCATGGTATTGATACCACTGACGATGAGGACGACTGCCGACCCCAACGTGTGCGACGCTGTTCCTCACTAAAAACAGGAAAAACCCCACCTGGCACACCCGGGCGGAAGAAAATTGTACGCTTCGCTGACGTCCTTGGACTCGATTTGGCTGACGTAAAGACCTTCCTTGACGAAATACCCAACATACCCAAGTCCGCCTTTGAGGATCTGGAAATTCTCGACTCCGAACCGCCACTGCAGCTGGGCCCCAAGTCGGACAAATTGCTCATGCCACTGTTCCAACAGCCGGGTGGCCTGCCCACATTCCTCGATGCGGTGCGCGAGAAACAAGTCTCGCTGGAGAATGCAGCCGTCACGGATAACATCAATCAGACGATTGCTGGTTCGGTGCGAGTACGCAATCTGGACTTCCACAAATCTGTGCACGTGCGCTACTCGCTGGACGGCTGGCGAAGCTATGCCGACCTACAGGCCAATTATGTGGAGAATTCCTGCGATGGATTCTCAGACAAATTCACCTTCGTCCTCTTTGGCAACTCGTTGCACGTTGGACAGCGCCTCGAATTCGCCGTTCGCTTTCAGTGCAAGGGCCAGCAGTTTTGGGACAACAACTACGGCGCTAATTACTGCTTCCAATGCTTGCCCACCTCTAATCACTTGACATCGACAACGCCTGTTGCTGGTGGCCCCGTGCCAGCACATCTCACTAGCAATTTGGTCGGCATGCTTAGCCCTACAGTGGGCGATACCTGGTGCAGTTCATTCTACTAATCGTTAGCAATGCGACAATGTAACAATGAAGTCAGTAGACGCGGGTCGTTAAAAGTTTGGGGATATCAGCATGATCAGTGATGGGGCCGTATCAAGGGGGCGGTCCGGGCTTATGAATCGATCCCCCTGTATGTAAAGCAAATGATTATATTTTTATAGAGTGGAGGTAGCAAATTCAACCAAACAAGCGATCAAATACAAGTAGTTCCATACAAAAGTGATCCCAAAAGAGCAGATGAATCCCAAAGATAGCTGTTAGTCATACTCGTATGTTTTAAGAAGAGCAAGTGATAACAAATAGTAATGAAAGATGATCAGTTTTTATGGCTTGAGTTATAGCATCGATAATTTCTCGTCTCTCCCTCTGTATTTCCCCTGGTAATAACACGGAACGGTTGTGTGGGCAGCTCGGCAGCTCGGTATGTCGGTAACTGGGATCAAATCAGATAGCAGAATGAAGATAGCAGATAGCAGATCAGCCACAAGAATAAAGCAAATACCTAACATCCAATTTCTAGTCATTTCAAGTTCACTTTGGGACTCTTTAAAGGCCTTATTACATACATGCATGCACACACAGCATTTATGTAGAAAACATTCTAGCAGACCCATTTAATTAAATGATACCACAAATGAGACATACTCGTACGAGTATATGGAGAATAGTCGCATTGGGCATATGACTAGCTACGGCTCTAACACTAGAGCACTACTAGAGAACATGGCTTACACTAGCAATTCAAAACCCGAATATTGCAGGATCTCTACTAGTTGTTCACAATGAGCTGGGTTATACAAGTAAGAACGGCTAGAGCTGCTGCAATAATCGTTGCTCTTCTGACTCGTATCGCAGAGTCGAAAGCTCCCTGCATGATTAAACCATTCGTAACCAAAGCAATCCCAGTACTACTTGTATGTGTACTGAATATCCTAATTTTATTTTGTGCTATACCAAAACTGTTATATCTCTTTGAAATTGTACCTCTTTTTTTATTTTGTTTATTTTATTAAGAATCTTTGTCATTTAGTTTCGCAGTTTCGATGATTTTTAAGTACTCGTATGTATTTCTTAATGATTATTATGTGTGTGTTTTGCAAGCATATCGAAGAGAACACACATGTTTTTATTTTTGCTTCAGTTAAGTAAAAATGTTACACATCTTTATATCTTTATGTATATAGTATATACTTATGTATAATTTGTGTCCTCACACCTTACTCATTATATGATGCCTCATATAATATATATACACAATAAAATATTCTACATTTTAGCTTATTTAATTTTTATTTTTATTTTTTGGTTTGAATTGGACGGGAGAATTCGAGAACCACATGCCTATAAGCAGCCAACTCTAGTACCGCTAACCCATACTAGAGAATACTAAGTATATACATACATATATATATATATATCAGGGAACTCAGTGCATATAAACACTACAATAAGAGTTAGAGTAAAACTATGTAGTTCTAACAGTAAAGAATGCAAAACGAAGCTACCTCAAAGTTTAAAGTACATTAAGTACGTTTTCAATACGAAAACTTAAAAAATAGTTAAAAATATGTATTATATTATATGTATATTGCATAGCAAAATGTGTAAAAATAACGACATAAAATAAAAAGAATCTTACTTTAATGAGTGGTCGAAACTACTTGTACATATGCAGACGAGTATGTATGTATGAGGGGTGGGAAAAGGAAAATCATATTGGTACTCGTACACCCCTAATGGAGGGAAGAGTGAGTATTGAAAGAAAAGGCCTTTTCCTTTTAAAATACATAAGTCAGAAAATGCAAAGTAGTATGTTAATTGTTATAAATTGAAATGTTAATAATTGGTGAGGGCAGCAGGCAATAAATAAAGTTGAACATTTTGCAACAAAGCTCATGGGCAAGTACAAGCCCTTGTTTCTTATTCAGTTTTGTTTTATAAAAAATACATAGAAATATTAACCTCTCAACCCAATAACCTTCAAGCCGAGAAAGTTCTTTTTCAAACAGAAAAAGTATCTGCATCTGAATGGATTATATAAATAGACGTTCTGTGCTTCTATCAACAAAACAATAGAATAAACAAAATAAATTTAAAAATGCCGCGTGACTAAATACTTGTACGTGTATTATGAATGTACGGTTGGGTCAACTGAATGAACTTTTAATGCCGTTAACGGCGCGAAGTTCATACAATCGTGTTTTGTTTCCAAACACAAAGCCAAATTTCACTATCAGCTATCAAAGGCATCAATCCAAATGAGTAAGTATAAAAACTAACCTGGTCGGTTTCAGGTTTCAGTTCTCAAGATGAAGCCGCGTTTAGTGGAATACGGTTCAGTTTTTCGGACTATAGCATGTCTCATAGTCTTGAGTCTTCAAGCACAGAGAGGACTGGCTAAGTCCAACCGATCCCACTCACAAATTTCAACGGCTCGCCTCATAGCATTGGCAACGCCTGCACCGCAAGCCCCAGCGCCAGCAACTCCATCGACAGTTATTGTTCACCAAGATCCTTATGCTTATCGTCCACCTCCATCTGGTAGTTATTATTCTCCTCCTGCGCACTCACATCACAACTGTCACTGTCCGCCTGGTCCACCCGGCCCACCTGGCCCACCAGGTCCTCCAGGTGAGCCTGGCTATGGTTTTCCGGGGCCGAAGGGAGAAAAGGGAGATCAAGGTCATCCTGGTAAGAAAGGATCTCCAGGCACAGTCGGTTATCCAGGATTGCCAGGTACACAGGGACCACAAGGTCCACAAGGGCCACAGGGTCCTCCGGGACAAATTTCATACTCACATGGACATGGACATGGTCACGGATATGGAAAGACACCACCAATTTCACCAATTGTGGTTGTGCCAGCACCACCCCCACCTATAATACCAGCACCACCACCGCCATATCCCTGGCCCAAGGGACCAAACAAATATCCCTATCATTATTCTCACCATAATCACGGAGGACATCATCACGGACATCACCACGAACACCACAACTACGGACATCATAGAGTATTCGATGACGAAGAGCCCGACTATCCTTCTTCTAGTAATCACATAGACAGCCAAGACTCTGCAGAGCTGAGTACTGAAAATGACTTCAGCGTCGAAGAACAGGAACGTGCTCTAAATAAATATTTGGACCCTGCTGACACCATCTACACTCCAAACACTCCCTTTTATGTGAATGGGAAAAAATATTCAGAATTGTCTCATCGTCTTAGTTCTTAGATTTTAGTATTAGTGCAAACCAAGCAATTCACAAGAATAAAGACTGCACTTATGTATATCTAAAGCTAATTGCGAATTAACTTAGAACTGCAGAATTTCGCAGTCCACTATTAGCAAACATCATCGTCAATGGGCTCCTCGTCCTCCATGTGGGCACTGACCTCGGCAAAGTCCTCCTCCCCATAGCCGGACACTCTGCAAACAAGGCGAAAGTTCATTTTAATGTCGCATAATTCTCGCCCAGCGTCTGTTTTTGCACTTCTCAAAATCGCATTGTGTCAGCAAGCCCTCGACCTTCGCCACTCCTCTGCTGAACCGCAGCAATCCACACAGACGCAGCATGGCGAGCAGCAGCAACAGCATTCCAGCCACATAGCTCAGCCAGAGATTGTGGGGCCAGACAACGAGTGCCACGCCCACGGCAATGTAAAACGGTGCAGGCCTCCAGCCCCCCAAGAGCGATGTGCTGCGCCAACATCGAAGGCAGCAGGACACAGCATGGTAATTATCGCTGCAAATTAAAAATAAGTAAATAAATCTAAAATTTATGGCCTCGCCTTTTCGACCCACTTACTCGCCACAAAGTGTACGTATAAATATGGTTATGAGCCACTTTATCTCGATGAAGAGCACAGACAAGGCAGAAATCCTGCGCGAACACAAAGAAAAACTGTTTTTGTTTGATTGTTCATTGTAAATGCTCTGCGTCTTTGCTTACAATATATAAAGTCCTGCCTGGTAGCCGTGCATGTAGACATCGACGCCGACGCCGCAAATAACTGAAATGATATACGACTAACATTAGTTGTTGGTTTTAGACAGTACACTTCTCGCCACTTGAATAGGACATTCTCTTAAGTCTGCCTTCTATTGCCTATTGCCAAGTTAGGTATGTTAGAGACCAAGGGCGTAGGCAGTGGGGGGCAGGGGGGGCCTTGCCCACCTACAACAAATGTTGCCATATAAAGTCGACCACACGTTCATTATTACGACGCACTATTTCGCCTTAAAATGGATCTGAGTTGCATTTGTTGAAGTTTTTTTCATTGATCACATGCATAACTTATTTTTTAAACGCATGGTGCATTATTTAACAAAAATTTTATTTCGAACCACTTGAAACATTTCAGCGACTGGATCCACATCTTCATGTACCTAAATGCAGACTTAAACATAAAAGGAATATTTATGCTGACAACCGTTTCGGGCACGGGCATACAAGTATAATAAGAATAATAGACATTCATCCCTAATTGGCTCGCTCTCAACACTTGTCAGTATTTCTTCTAATTATGATCCCACTATTGATTGGATATGGATAATGAAATATTGTTTTATTTACAGTAAATTAATAATATTTGTACCCTCGACAATTTGAACTTTTCGAACTACCCTCTTGTCATTTGGTTTTATCTGCTTCATGCCCTCTTGCGATGTGTAAAATATGAGAAACAATCAAAGTGCCAATAACAACAATAACACAGTTAACCCAGTGAGCCCCTCGGATTTCAATCTAATTAAGTGGCTTTGGTATGCCGAAAAAACAAGTCAGATTCGCCAGCAGATAAAAGGCAGTATTTGGCTAAATCCATAGCCAAAATCGAACCAATTACATTAAACGCTTTAAGCGCTGGCGTATACTATTCTGCTTGGGCCTGGATAGGACGTAAGAGTATGCCACGCGACTCGAAAAACATGCAAAAATTATGCGCTGCTTTGTCGACAATTACGCAGGACATGCGGAGCCATAAACCCTCATCAAGTCTATGCCATCGCAATGGCTCATAGATTTTTTGCACTGGCACTCTGTCGCCATGCTTTGGGTTTAGTAATGCGCCATAAATTTGTTGACGCACACAAACGCCCGACGACAGGCGCCCAAAAGGCTGACAACAAAAACCGTATTGAAAAGTTGCAGGGGGTGGCGAACGGGTTGCAACTGAATGCTGCAGCATTTGGCAGACAAAGTGTAAAAACTTCACGCACACACGAATAAGTGGATACTGCAGTCGACCTTTGGAATAGACCAATGCCTCTTTAATGGCTGAAGTGGAAGAGCAGCGAGAAGTTCATGGAGTTAGTTAACAATAAGCCATAACTTCTCTTGGCCGGAAATACACACAAATATTTGTAAGGAAATAAGTTTGAACTTGAACTAAGCAATCGTCGTCTCAATTTAAAGTTGGTGCAAAAAAACGTAAATCTAGAAGACATACTAGTACAAAACCCTGACTCTGAACTATGCTAAGTTTTCACAATAGCAAGCTGTTTTGATCAGGACTGTGATCGTTAAGCAGTTACTTGCAGGGAGTATATGGTAAATGGTTCCAAATGATAAGCAAAACATGACCTCGAGGCGATTAAAAATGTATAACTAATTGAATTTGGCTTGGTCTGATAAATTTATATGTGGCGGGCACATTATACTCGTACATTTTGATCAATCTGTATTTATGTATATCAAAATGTGGCACTGGTTAGGAACTTTTTGATTTTTCTTTCCTATCCCCGATGGGTGTAACGGAGTGTGAACGTAAAATGTACAAATATAATAGGCAGAAGAAACCGTGGCAGACCCATTAAAAAAATATATCTACAAGTAATAACGAATCCGAGTCGGAGGGGCAGTTTTATTTGCCAAACGGCCAACTATGCCCCGATTCAGCAGAGAGTAGTCACAGACCTTATTAGACCTAACAAAAAGAAAAAGAGAGGGAAAATAGCAATAAAAGATAAAGAAGAAGTGTGATAAAATTAAAAAAACAAATTAAACTTGGAGTACTTAAACAATAAAAGATGAAATATAATTAAAAGCTAAAGGTGGAGAATCACTGACCCGTTGGGGGAAGGTTTATTAGCCAGTCTGGCAAGCTATGCCCCGACTCACAGCAGTGGTGATTAGTGATTCTGGCGGAGGTAGCTGAAGAATTTAGTGAAGGGAGAGAGAACTCACTTGGGATTAAAAAGTAAAAAGTATTATAATTAGAGCATAACACTCGAAAAAGATTGTGTATGGCGTAATCAGTAATGCATCTAAAAGCATAGAGGAATCAACATCTCCGTCAATCAATTTGTGGAGGAACAAAACACCAAGCACAAAGGCAGGTTAGGATAAGATGATGATTTCTCATTTTCCCCAACTTACTCTGAAGTTGATAAACCTTTCCATAAAAACAATTTAATAAAGTCATATAGCTGCCATAGCTATAGCTATACTATAGCTATAGTATGACACCAACCCGCATTTGTATAATCAATGTTACACATTTGATCGTCAGAAGGGTATTATTAAGCGCCCAATGCAATAAGGCAAACCTTCCATCATATACGACTAAGTAGTTTAGCTTAAGGATTAAACTTAGTGAATTCTTATTTTTATGTTTTTGTGGCCACAAGTGCTGCTTTATTAGTGTAAATGGTTGTGCGTGCGCATTTCCATGGCAGTAAAGCTGATATAGCGCATAATATGTCCCTGCATTCCGGTAAGTTTTTTAATGCATGTTACATTATATACATACATATGTATATACTATATACCTGTATATAAATATCCAAGCGCTTACCGAACGAAGTCAGCAGACCAAAAACTCTTATCACAGGACGTAAACACTCGCAGGGCTCGGTAGGTTGATGTTGCCGGTGACGCAGCCGCTGTTGCTGCTGCAAGGACGCTAGTTGACTCATGGTTGCTGGTTGAGAGTGTAGCTAGGCGCGAATCCTATTTATAATTGCTGCCCCTTTCACAGCAGACCCCATGCCCTTTGCATGGGCGCTGAGCACATTTTACACACAAGCGCGCATACAATTTGCACTAATTGGAAAGTAGCTTGGAGTTGGTTCGTTTAGATGTGTGTTGATTTAGCCTAAATGGTTTTTAAATTGCTGGACAAGGCAGAGAAAAAGAGCGAGGACATACATAAATATTTCCGAACATGTTCGCTTTCTTGAAGTGCAGCACCAATAATAAGAAAAAGCAACAACAACAACTGCGATTGCCAGCTAATATTACAATAAATGTAGACAATTTGGAGTTTTAGCTCAAAAGACTTCGAGCCATGCGTTGCATATAAATCAGTAAACTTTTACGGCCATTTTCAGCAGCACTGTCTTAAATTTTTGGCAAGTGATAAGCTAGCGATTGCCAAGGATATTGCCGCACCGTTGCCGTTGCCGTTGCCGCTACTGCCATTATGCGTTTTGTGAGACAGAATAAGCAGCTCGGAACACTTGACGTTAGCAGGCGACACAACTGCTTTAAATTTATATGTTAAATATTTAATTCTGGCATACGCTGCGTATGCGTAATCATCCTCGAGGGCACTTCGTTTGGCGTTTCATGGCTGTTTTATAATTTTAGCTTCTTACTTCTACGCTGTGTGTTGGCTGCCGTCTAACGGCTGCAAAGCACCGTTTACCGTTCACCATTTAACACACACACTCACACACACCCACACACTCAACACGAACGTCAACAGCCGCCTGCTGAATATGCTTTTCAGGTGCCATTTGCAACTTAATGTTTCTGCGGCCTCTGAACTTAAACAACAAGAGGGTAAGCTAGTGTGTTCAAAAAAACGTCCGCACGCGTCTAGCAGTGGCAAGTGAATGAATGGAGCAATCGTCCTCGTCGTCGTGGAGGCTGTCCGCTTGGCTACAAAGTCAGGCAGCCAAGCACACAAGCAGCCACCGCTATGTGCTTTGGCCCGTGCGGTGCTCTGCCTGTGAAAGCGAAGGGACTTTCCGACTTTTGATGAAAAACGTACTCGAAGCTTTGGTTGCACACGCCTATAAGAAAGTAGCTCTAATATGTACATATATTAAAGCGATTATTGTCCTTAAGCACAATTCATTAATAATTATTTTTGATGTAACAGTAAAAACATTCACTGGACTAATCTATTATGAAACGAACCAAACGGCACTTTTGGTTTAAAAATTACAAATTCATAGTGCATTGATCTAATTTTACATTTTTAAAAGCAGTTCTACTACCCAACGTTTTTTTTATAGCCTGTACCCAAAGGGTGAAAGGCTATACTAGTTTTGTGCGCATGTATGTAACACACAGAAGGAGGCGTGGCAGACCCCACAAAGTATATATATTCTTGATCAGGATGAGAAGACGAGTCGATAAAGCCATGTCCGTCTGTCTGTCCGTCTGTCCGTCTGTCCGTCTGACCGTCTGTCCGTCTGCCTGTATGAGCGCAAGGATCTCAGTAAGTACAAGAGCTAGGATAACCAAAATGGTATCAAGGTTCCTATAAGCCCTAGGCAGAACGAGTTTGTTTATTTTTTCTGATACACCCCCCCACTCCCCCGCAATTCGTATTTTTTCTTATAACTTCCGTAATTCTCGGAATTTAAAAATCAATTTTGGTAGGTACATCCAGTTAGTACTAATGTGTCCGTGTGCCAAATTTCATCATGATAGGTCAATTCTGAAGAAAGTTATAGCCATAAGTAAAATCGCTGCTCATGCGCTGCCTGCAGCTCTGTCGGCAGCGCTGCCCGCAGCTGTTGTTGTTGTTGCTGCTTTTGTTCAACTTTGTGCTGCATACATACACGCATATGAACACGCATAGGTACGTGATGTAAATGTATGCTGTTTAAACTGAACATAAACATGTATTCTAATTTAATTAAATTAATTATTTTAATTAATTCATTCATTCATTTTTTTTTAATAATTTAATTTTTTTTTAATTTTTTTTTTTTTTTTAATTTTTCCTTTTTGTGGAGAGTACAGGCTATTTTACTGTCGGGCTTGCTCGACTGTAGCGTTCTATCTTGTTTTTTAATAAAACGAGCTTTACGTTGTGCACGACTGTATTAAGGATCCACTCACAGAAAGAGATAATATTAAGTAGCTAAGCTGATACTGACAGAAGATATTAGCTTACGCTTCTATATTTACATATACAAGTATATGTATGATCAGTGATCAGCTTAATTAACTGAGATCAACCACTCTGTGTTTTCTTGTAAACTACACCATAATGAAGAACAAAGATTTTCCTCAATTTTCGCGTTCTTTCCCAGCTGTGAGTTTTTGAACCTATGGAATTAAACCAAAAGGAAATCAAGCAGGAAAAACATTTTACTGATTTTGCTAATGTTCTAAATCGCAAAGCAATACTTAACACTGCGTCTACCGGCTCATAATATAGTATCATTAATATTTGGTCCGACTATATCGTCAAAAAATATATAAATTAATATCATAATTATTATCATTTAATTATGTATTACTGTTTATAGTAATAGTAAGAATCGTAATATATATTGTATACATAGCTTTCACCTGTACAAATGCTTTCTTTCTTGGGCATCTTTGCAGGCCATCAGAGCTGTCGCATTGTTTTGGCCATTTCTAACTTGTTCACATTGTCACAAACAAGTTTAACATATTTTTGTAGTTGTTGCTACTGGTTTTTCTTCCCCGTGCCATTTCGTCGCCCAACGTCATTGTCTGTGTGTATGTTTCATAACTGCGAAGTGTGGACTAAGACGATGTCGGGACAAACACACCGCAGACGCACTGAATTGTATCCTGGCCCGCAACGTAATGTTTACAAAAACTTGTTGGCACCAAGGACCCCATGTCCACATACTAAGCACAAGACAGAGAAGGCAAATATTTATTTTAGCTTTAAACCGTTTCCATCTCATTGTTTTGCATTTTAAGATGCTCTTTGCATTATGCGGTGTTAATTAGATCTAGAGACCTACAATAACATATAATTCACTCACAAAAAGAAGTACATAATCAGATAACTCGGCTTGTGCACAATGATACTAATAATCCCCGGGTGACTCACTTGCCGAAGTCCTTGCGCTTTTTCATGATCTTGGTAATGCCTGCGACCATTGCCACCTCGGGTAACGACAACTTGGCCTCCTCCTGAAAGTCGCAGCGTCGCGACAAATGAAGCGAAGCTCGCTCCGGATTAAGTGAAAGTGGTGTCTGCAACCAGCTGACAAAGTCGATCTTCAGAGAGCCGGTGAGTAGCTGATCGAAAGGCGTATTCCCAATAAAAAACATAGACCTAAGCACGGATGTTTTAGCTTCCTTAATGTTCTGGCCCTGCACGCCCTGAAAAGGACTCGGCTCGTTCTCTCCCGTACCGAGCTGCTCCATCAACCAATCCTTGTTGAACTTTAAATAGTTGTATATCACCTTTAAGGCCTGTTTTCCTATGTTTGTGGTCAGCACGTCGCTAGCCAGAACTTCTGGAATGTAATCGGCAATGCCTACGTCAAGTTCCATGGCGTAATTAGCCGGTGGGCTGTGACTCAGGCGATCCGAGTCGGCAGTGGCGAAGTCATCCATTTTGACAGTGCTTACAGCGCTGAGGCCCCCAGCTCCGCGTGTAGAGATACCGCCGAAGTCTGCATCCAGGTTAATACTCTCCTTGGCCTGTTTCAGGAAAAACTCGATTTGATCCGTGTGCTTGTCATCCTCATCTATTGAACAGATGGCCTCAGATATAGAGTAGCAAATAGATGCTTTTTTATCGTTCTTTGCTGCAGAAAAAACAATGATGACTTAAATTATAAACTATAAATTATATTCAAAGATTCACAGACCCTGCTCATGCATTTCAGCTGTTCGAATAAGCTCAGTATAAAGCGCGGCAAAAACCACTTGGAGCAGAACTGAATCACCGAGGGGTCGCGTTGACACTGGGATTATGTCCTGTAACAATGCGGTGATCTTGTATAGTCCCTCCGGTATGCAATCCCATATTTCGGACACACAAGTTAGGGCCAGCGACATCGCTTGATACATGCTAGCTCCGTTCTCCACGGCATTGATCAACATATCCACCACACAGTCGAGCACGGGATAAACAAAGTGCATAGTGGCCTCCAGCCACGGCGTTCGCTTCTGGTTCCAGATCTGGCGCTTGTCCAAGCAGTCGCTCCAACCGCTCATTCCATACTCCTCGAGCGTCTTAATGAGGCACGACTTGATGTCCACGGCCTTGCCAACGGCCACAATCAAATAAGTGAGAGAGAGAACAATCTGATAGTTCGATTGACCAACAGGATCTGCAAGTGATTCCTGTATTTAAGTACTAGTCTGCACTAGCCAGAAAAGGTTATCCACCTAAATCAGCGGCCAGGGAATCAGTTACATTGAAGCATTCGCCGCGGCACAGGAACGCTTCACACTTGATTGGGGTGCCATCTCCGCCAGTAAAAGAATTCTTTGCTACATTCTTGAAATTCTCCGATGAGGGCAAATGCTGCATCAGATGCTTCATAATAATACCTGTCAAAAAAGCGTCACGCATTAGCAAAATTTTGAGTAGGTAAGGCCAGTTGGCTTCGGGAAAAGCTAGTAACACGCGCAAATCTAGTGATATGGCCGTTTGTGTCGTCAGATCAGCAAATTCGGTGACCCACTGGCAGGACTGCTCCTTTGGAAAATAGCGCGGTAATGTGAAAATTATCCAAGCACTTGGAAGTCCATGACGCGAGCTAAACATTTCCATGTTGTCAAGTCCCTTCCGAAAGACCTAACAAACGAGGATATGTGGACAGGAACAATTTTGTTAGTATTGATCAAAGTCAAGAAAAATGTAAACGAGTTGTTGTTTTTTAAACAATTATAGTATTGTGCAATGAATCCAAATAACAAAGAAAACCCCTTACCTTAGAGAGTACACCGAGCGGCGATCCGCGCAATAGAAGGCAGTAGAAAAGTTCTCGGCACTTAGCATGTATATCCCTCAATATCACGCTCTGGTTGCTCAGTTGTAGGCCTACATAGGCTTCTCCACTTTCGCACACATTAGGCAGCAGTTCGGCAATACATAGCAACAGATTACATATGTCCACCAGATGCAGTGGAGCCCGTGCCACGCTGGTTACAATTTGAGTGTAGCGCACGGTGAGAACACTTAATGTCTCGTTCAACATTCCCGCAAAGATGCGTTGTGCCATTTTGGGCGGCACGGAGTTCCACAGATCGTTTTTGGTTCCACGCATATAGTGCCACCACATTTGCACTGTGTATGATCCTCGCTCCGATTCGAAGAAAGGCTGGCCATCCTCCCAGTGCAGACAGTCGGCATCTTGAATTATATAGAGCAGCAGAAGGCGACAGTGCAGGTCCAGCAACCGTTCGGCCAGCGCCTCAGACATTTGGGAGTATTGCTTAAAGCTGAGCTTCAGAGCCCCGCCCTTCTCATCACCCTTAGGTGGACAAATAGTCGTAGTAGCCGCTTGCATGTAAACAGAAAGACAATTTTTAACCAGCGCTGCCGCGCCTATGGTAGCCGTGAGAACCGACAGATCCGCATGATCCAGGGATTCCTGGGAAAGACGATGTATGTGCTCTAGAAGGAGATCCGCTGATTTGGTCACCAGGTTGACAAACTTATCGGGATCCGAGCTCTTTACCGTTACTGAACTCTAAAGAACTCATAGGTGTAATTTTTCAATTATGTTACACACCGTCGTCCAATACTTACGAAATCACCTTCGGTCAGCTCCTTTTCTGTATGTAGCAGACCCGATGGCTTGCGATATGAGGCAAAGTACTCATCCTCCCACCTAAATAGGTATAAAGAATAATAAGAAGGGAGGGTAGTCCGAACTTATAAGAGCTAGATCATACCAGCGAATCAATTTGATAGATGCAAAGGATGCACACCGTGGAAAATCAAGTTTACCGCCCACTACGCCCGAGCAAATTGGCTCCTGAAGCACACGCTGATGAGTCTAATCGAGAGGAAATGTAAGTCCGTTAACTTGCTAGCTTGTCAAAAAGGTCATTCAACTATATACCTGATAAAATTCCAAATCACGTTGCAACAGAATCGGAACACGATCCATTAAATTACCCTCTTCGAGTACCTCCATTTTAGGCAGCAATTAAGTTCTTGTTCCGAGACAAAAATCGAGAAAACCAGCAAGCGGAAAAGCTTGTATTGATAAAACAAGAGTGGAGTTGCTAGGAAACATAAAGTCAACTTCAAGTTCATTTAATAACTGGATGGAATATATACAAATTGTTCATTTTGTTTAACGCTGATAAAAGAATTAGACATTTGGCATATTATGTTTGAGCCAAGTATGTACCATAAAGAAGGAAGCATCTTTTCACATTCTTAATCATGAGATATATTGATACAGCCACATACACACACATACCAGAAACCTATTAATTTTTTAATGAGACTAAATTTAACTATTGTAAATCAACTAAAAGTACGGTTTAATGATAAAGCTTTAGGTACAAACAAAAAATTATTAATTTTCATTAAGCGGCAAACTGCGGGGTCCTAATTTTACGCCATTTGAATAGAACAATTTAACAATTTTATTCTGTTTCTTTCATCACCAACAAATTAAACTATTTGGAGTATTTTAGACTTAAAAATATTTGTTTAATAGTGTGTTCAGCCATCTTTCTGCTCAAAACTTCCCACATCCGCTTTGTAAGGGATGCGTATAAATTGGACAAATACCTGAGCGAACTCCAAGCTAATTCGCGGGTTGGGTTAGTCTGGCTATACTCGTATATTGTTGTCCAGATACATATACATACTTGACGTGAACAACATCCCCAAACATTTTCGATTATATTTAAATCCGGTGAGTAAGGCAGCTAGCTCAAGAGCTCCACATTTTGGGTCTTCATATACGTTGTAACAACCTTGGCTGTGGGTATTGTCGCATTACCATGTTTAAAAATCCACAGCATCCCAAAAAGGTCTTGAAAGTATAAAAATTCCCCTTTAATATACCATTGTAAGACAACGCATTCAAAAATTTACAAAAATTTCAACAGGTGCCATAATTTGCAATGGCTCCCCATACCATCACACCTTCACCTCTGGTGCGCAGTCCAAATGAGGTCATTGAAATAATAGGTATAGCCATTAGAGCCTTCCAAATTAAAACTGTTTTCATCTGAGAAAGCTCCGCGATGCCATCCGAAGTCCAAGTACTCCAAAAAATTTGAAACAACGTTTGCACTCCTCTCTTTTTTTCTTACCTATCAGCGTCCTTTTAAGCTTGGAATTATTTTTTTTTCAATCTTGGTTAAAGCTTTTCTTTAACCCATTTTATGTTATTTTAAAATAAAATCATCGAAAGAAACAAGGGCGTAGGCAGATGTTACCAAAGGGGGGCCCCAAAAAAAAAAAACTTATGCATATGATTAATGAAAAAACTACAACAAATTCAACTCAGATCCATTTTAAGGCGAAATAGTTCGTCATAATAATGAACGTGTGGACGACTTTATATGGCGAAAGTTTTTGTTTGGCCACCTACACCCATTGAACCATAATTCTGTATGCCTTTTATGCCGTAAAAAGCGGTAGCACAATCTATTTTTGCTTTTGTATCGTCTAAAATATATATTTTCAATTTGGTACTTGACGTTTGAGAGGCCAGATACCAATTTAATGCTGGATTTATAGAAAAACATTATATCGGATGTAAGTGCAGATATAACAGGACCATAGTCTTAAAGATTTCGACGACGTCGATAGTACGATTGTATTAGGTCCAGATATATCTTACAAGCACTTGATATGGGAGAAACCTGATCCTGTTTTATTGTATATATATAAGTATATATAAGAAAAAATGAAATTATTTGCCGTAGAAAGAATACAAGAAGGGGCATTAAGACAGGTATTTCAATCCACAGAAAGCAGATAACTTTGGCATAAGATATCACTAGTTAAGTCCTTTACACTATACATAGAAATTGCAAATTCGCAGAGTCGAAGGACCCTGTAATTACTTTAAAATAGTGCCCCTCTATGAAATTGGAATCTGAAGAACAAAGGAATGCTAAATTCGTGCGAGCTCAACTCTTAAATACCTCCCACAAAAAAAGAAAAAAATTTGTTAATTATTTAAAAAAATATATATTAATTAAATTAAATACAAAATATTAAATACATACATTTACATCAGAATCGTGTCTCTGCGAGTTTAAGTTTCTTTTAATTCGGGTAGAATTGAATTTCATTTTTCAGTTCACTTCTTGCGAGTGGTGCTCAAAAAAAAATCTCGCCAATGGAATACGCATACACACATTATAGATAAACAAACATTCGCCGGCAAAAAATAAAATTTTTAACGCCCCCCCTCCGGCCTACGCCCTTGCCCATTTCACGTACAAAGAATATTAGCTAGAGTATGGTTCCTCAAAGTCCTAAACGTGTAGCCTGATAATTCTACACACTACGCATGAGTATTGGTATCCAATAAGCTTAGTAGGCATCATCTCCGCATAAAACTAAAAACTATCAGAAGAAAAAAACAGAACGGTCTTGACTAATTTAAACAAAAAAGAGTTGCAGTTAAATGTATCTTATTTGCGAATAAAATAAATGTTTGGTTTGGCTAATTATCGCTAACGTCGAAACGCCAAAAATCCACCTCGATGTCCTTGGACTGTCGCTTGTGAAATTTGTAGCAAGCATCTATATTATATCTGAGTTCGGCAAGTACCTTCCCTCGGGCACCCCATTCTTGACATTTTCTTTGGATGTAGGTCCTGCAAAGTATTAAAGGTAAAAATTTGCGGATCAAGATGTGCTGAGGATTCACTCACCGTGTCGACGTCTTGTGCAGGGAGTAGACCGCTGTAGTTGCCAGTTTTACGCCTACCTCCAAAAAACGCATATCCATGCCAGCATTGTGCTTGGTGCCAAAGGGCGGATTCATTACGACAGTATCGAATGCTTTGGCCCATTTGGTCTGCGGCAGCTGCAAGACGTCAGCGCGCACACATTCAACATTGGCCAATTCCATTTCCTGCACATTAGTCCGGTAAACGTCCACCGCATCACCATCTACCTCAAACCCAACAGTAAAATGAGCGCCCACGAGCACGGCTCCAATGCTGAGCATGCCACAACCGCAGCCCAAGTCACAAACAAACCTACCCTCAAGATCTTCATACTGAGACTGCATGTGATGGAGCATGCAGGCAGCAATGTGCGGCGGCGTTGGATACTGTTCTAAAAGAATTTTCGGCTTAACAAAGCCATCAACGCACTGTAAATATTCTTCTATTTTCTTTAACTTAAGGCGCGCCATATTGTTGTTCTCTTGAGGCTACTTGGTAACGTTGTGGTTTAATGGTGCTGTTGGCAAAGGCTCTAGACGTGGAAGAACGGGTATAAAACTATTTCCAAAATACGAGTCCTGGGGTATGAAGAATCCCAATGTCGTAGAACTTGTTGGATTAAATGCAGAGCGGGGCGCAGCGATGCTACTGGCATTGGGCACTGGTGCCTGCTGTGGAAAATCTGCAGTCGCTTGACCAAGCAGCTGCGGTGCGGGCATCTGTATAAGGAAGTATTCTTTTTGAGTCAGTGTCGGCCAAACCAGTTTTTAGAACTTTTTCAAACGAAGATAAACTTAGTGGGAAGAATTCAGTTTTTAAATAAAATTGTATGTCCCAAGAAGTCAGTCGAGTTCATTTAAGCTAGCTGCCCTACATTCAGTTAGCTGTTTTCTTAATTACCTGACTTAGGCTAGCAGTGTTCAGTGGCCCCGTGTTGCCCAAGCCAACAACACTAACACTCTTCTGCAATTGAGACGATAGCTGCTCCAGGATTTTGCGGTTTGTTTCTGCGACGAGAATTAAAAATGTTTTCTATTAGTTTGCTTTTAAGTAGTTATGGATTAGTCCTGTAACCTTGCTGAGCGTTTGATGTTGGAAAAGCCATGAAACAAGCAAAATACTGCAAGTAAAACAATATAAACGAAACTTAAGGTGATGGTTTGTCAGCATGCGATATTTCATTGCAGAGTTGATAATAAAATATCAAAATAATGAAATATCGTGTAAATTATATTAGTTATCGATTCATCTACTATGTACATACATATGTATATCAAAACTTTAAAAGTTAACAGAAAAAGGCTTTCAACATGGGAAAAATGAAAAAGAAAAAATGTTTGATGGCAACTCACTAAACTTCCTCGAGACAATTAACGCGTAAATACTTAAAATTAGTATTTAAACAGTGTACGACACTTTAATGGAAAGGACTTACCCCATTAAATAATTTGTAAACCTTTTATGTTGTATACTTATGTATTTCGACAGTCAATGTTTGCCGACATATAAATATAATAAATAAATATAAATAAATAAATAAATAAAAAATATGTCATCATCGTTATATTTTAAAGTTTGGCTATTTGTTTTGGAAGCTTTAATTAGAAAACTGCCAATAATAAATTGTGCTAAGTTGGTAAAAAAAAATAGCCTTAGTTAAGGATTTTGAAGTCATTTCATTTATTCACAAAAATTGGCTCATAAATTGGTGTGTGTCTATAATTACTTGTAGTTAATAATAAAGAGTACATGTTATAAAACCTTATCAACTTAATTATCTATAAAGGTCAGTTTCTAATGTTTGAAGTTATGAATTGGAATATTTTAAAATCAAAATTTTCGTCTTACATGAATGGCCTCCCACGATAAGAATAACATTTATACTATCGATATTTATATCGATTACTTTTACAAAGCAGCAGGAAAGCGTGGTGTTTACAAAAAAAAATATCTTTAAATATTATCAAAAATAAACACAATATCATAAAAAGCTGCTCCGCAAAAGCGAAACAGCACTAAGATATCTTCGTGGACGAACAAATTAAAAAAGAGTTAGTACGATGAGCATGAGTGATGACGACAGAGATATTGATATCGAAAGTGACGTAAGCAACAAATTAATCAGCAAATGTAAGACAACAAAATAAACAAATGATTTTTTCTGAAATATGTGCAGGATGATAACGACTCAGAGAATGGCTTAGGCTCGTCAAGACACACAAGCACAGCTAACTTTACACAGGTGAGTCGTTTGTGCGTGGGTAGCTACGTACGTAGAAGAAGAAGAAACGCACGTTTTCAATGTTTATAAACAGACTACACATGTGCTATCAATGGTGTACATGTTTATTTATTTTTCGTTGTTCCTTGTAGGCGGAAAAACGCGCTCATCACAATGCTTTGGAGCGTCGACGACGGGATCACATAAAAGAAAGTTTTACAAATCTTCGCGAGGCAGTGCCCACGCTCAAGGGTGAAAAGGTGAACGAACGCAAGTGAGAATTTCGCATTTATCACATGTAAAAAGTATAATTACAGGCTAGTCGTGCCCAAATACTCAAAAAGACAACCGAATGCATACAAACGATGCGACGTAAAATCGCCGAAAGTCAAAAGGATATAGAAGAAATTAAAAAGCAAAATAGTATTCTAGATGAACAAAGTAAGTACCGCACAGATCACCCAGCAAGTGTTGTGATAAAGTTCACCCATTTCACGCAGTTCGTCGATTAGAAAGTCCCAACTCAAATGGTTATTCGGATTTAGTAGTGGAAGGCGAAGAAGCCGACTCCGATGCAGACGTGGATCCAGAGCAGCCAGACTTTAACAGACGCAACAAAAAGATGAAAACTTTTCATGCATAGCACAGGTTAACAGTGCAATGCGGGATGCAACACTATACCGCCTTTTGCAACATCCTTAAGACGCGGTACTATCATTATCATTAGGTTTTAAGTGAACAGTACGTTTCCGACCCACTTCATGTGTGTTTTTGTACTTGGCGGCATTGTGCAACCAATCTATTTTTCCACCAACAATCGTCAGCACTAATAAAATTTGTAAGTATATTTTAGAAAAAACAATCTTCATATGCATATGGCCTATCATCCCCGCTACTACTTGAACTTTAACGTTAGCCAGAGCAACACAAAGACGGTGAGCACAAAAAGAAACATGTAGCACATTTGCCGGCTGCCGCCACCCTGTTTTGCCAGTCGTACTACTCGCGTCATCGTATTGCCTAGAAAGCCACTTGTGCGATCCATGTCATCGTCAATGCCGCGCAGAAGGTTGTCCTGGTAGCGCACCTCGTTTCCAATGTCGATGGTCAGCGACTTGAGTGCGCCAATTTTTTGTTTTAATTCCTCAGCGGCGCGTTCGTTTTCCGCCTCCAACGAATCGTGAGCAGGTGCGCTGCCGCTTGAAGCTGGCTGTTGATTGAGGGGCTGGTAGGGGTAGTTGTTCCGTCGCATGCTGCTGGTGCTTGTGTGAGCCAGTTTTCTGAACTATATAGTAACTACAAATAAACAAATAATTGTGGGTTCATACACAGATACATACATATGTATGTTTACATATGAACCGGCCCTTGTCCGGACTTGACACGTATACGGTTCAATCTAAACTTACGCACGCCGAAACAGCTGCTGCACTTGTAAATAACTATGCCTTGACCTTCTTGTTATGCACTACTCTTTAGCTTTTGACATAAGGCAGTTAGACGAAGTTTTCGGATTACTTATAACAAGAAATGTTAATGATGACAAGCAATGTCAAGTTGTTGCAATACAATATTTGTTGAAGCAGATGCTTCTTCTTCTAATTAAGTTTTCATTCGCCTTGAAACGAAAACAGCTGTTTCACAATGCAATTATTACAAGTCAAAGTGGATGAATCATTGTTTTGATATGACAAAATGCGATGGCGGAAGAATTAAAACTATGTTTTTAAATTCCCTACAAGTTTAGCAACAATGCAAATGTCATTTAAATTATATACACCAAATGAATAAGATAGATAACTTTTAGACCTATTTTATCGGTTAAATCTTAAAAACTCCGCTGTCCAAAAGGAATAATCCTTTAAATTTGGTAATTCAGATATGTAAGCTGTAGCGATAGGAATAATCAATTTTGCTACGAAACCATCGATAGTAGCCCATGTTTAAAAATATCGATAAGATCGACAATGTCATTGATTGGATTCCAGCCATAGGGGCTGCACTAAATGATTGTCAGCTGATACAAAACTGCGTGTTTTCCTTCATTCCCAGAATTTTGCCATAGCAACTTAATAAATTATGTGAAGAGTTTTAATAATTAATTAAATTACGGTCAATTATATCAAAAATTTAATGTAAACACGAAGCGATTGCATAACACTGCGGTCAGGTATGAAAAAACGAAAACCTTTGCTATTGTTATGGTAATGCTAATCGATCGAATTTATATACATATGTATATACTTATACGAGTATATTTAACATTTGTTGAGCGTAAAATATACCATCAAACACGCGCCGTTGTTATATTTGCTGAGAACGCGCTGACCGAATGACTTCTCATTGACCTAAAGAAGCGACATCGCTAAAAAGATTCAATCGTCCCCAAATGCTTGGTAGCAAAATATTAAAATGATAGTAGTATTTAGGACAATTAGTAATTAACTAAGAGTGATAAGCGTATTAAGTGCGCGTTTTTTTGGCATTTCAGCAAGTAATAATGACTGAGTATATGGTACCCGATCCAAATGGAGGTTACATCTGCACCTTTGCTGCCACATTGGGCGTTCCAGTGGAGGCGATGCGTCTGTTGTTAACACTGGTAGCCGGTAAGTGCAAAATAATTCCATGTATTTACTATGTACTTGTACTAATAACTTTTTGCTTTTAGGTTATCCTATTGCGGCATTTTATCGCAAAGTGCTCATTAACGTAAGCCCAAAAGCTCTGCACCACATTTTCTTTGCGCTCTGTGGCGCCGGCTTGTGCTACTTTAACTATGGTTTTGACACATATCACTCCTTGATCGGCATTTGGATGACTTATCTGTTGGTACGATTGTTAAGGGGAGCTCCACGTTTGCTGCTTATTATAAACTTCTTGTTCCACATGAGCTACCTACTGCTGGGCTACTATTTTACAGCAAGCAACGAATACGACATTCTATGGACCATGCCACACTGTATCCTCGTGTTGCGAATGATTGGCTTTGGATTTGATGTCACCGATGGTCTGCGCCCAATTGAGGATTTGTCCAAAGATCAGAAGGAAACTGCTCTTGTAGAACTGCCATCGCTGTTAGAGCTGACAGCATTTGCTTACTTCCCTAGTGGTTTTCTTGTGGGTCCTCAGTTTCCATATCGCCGCTATCGGAGCTTTATCAATGGCGAGTTCCGTCAATATGGTGGCAGCGTAGAGGCGGGGCTCAAGCGTCTGGCCGCCGGCGTTCTTTATCTGGGCATATGCCAATTGGGTCTGAGCTATCTACCCGATGCCTATTTTCTTACGCCGGCCTATGCAGAGGTACCCTTTGTAAAGCGACTCTTCTTTCTGGGCTTTTGGGCTAAGTTCTCGCTGTATAAATACATTTCCTGCTGGTTGCTTACCGAAGGTGCGCTTATGTGCATTGGATTCACGTACAAAGGTCAGGATGAGAATGGTCAACCGGATTGGTCGGGATGCAGTAATGTGAAGCTTGTCCTTCTCGAAACGGGCAATACAATGGATCACTATGTGCGCAGCTTCAACGTAAACACGAATCAGTGGGTTGGCCACTATGTGTACAAACGACTCAAGTTCCTCAACAATCGCACGATAAGCTATGCGGCCGCTCTGGGATTCCTAGCCGTTTGGCATGGCTACCACAGCGGGTACTACATGGCCTTCCTTATGGAGTATTTGATTGTGAGCACCGAAAAGCAGGTGAGAATGCAAGCTTCCGTTAAAAAACGTGCATGTCTTTAATGATAAAACATGACATGCATCCTAAAGCTACATCATAGCATCAAACAGTCCAGATACCCATATATCCTATTTAGAACATTTATTTGGCAGAAAATCGTGTCACTCATTTGGTCGTATTTATTGTATAATCTAGCACTTTTGCTTAAACATTCAAACGTCTTATGTTTCATTTGCAGATCGAGCGTGTTTATACCAAGGTTGTGTTACCAAAATATGGTGAAGTTCTAAAAAATTCCAGAGTATACACTGTTGCCTATTTTGTGGCCTTGAAATCCTACAACATTATATACATGGGCTGGTGTCTCTGCGCCTTTGTCTTTCTTAAATACGAGCGCTGGATTGTTGTTTTTAAAGCAGTCAACTATTTTGGTTTCATCTACATGCTTGTGTGGGCATGCATCTATCATGGGTACCGCTTCTACTTGCGTAGTACGGCGAAGCGCAGTGAGGCACAAACGTTTAGCCAAGCCACGGATTTAACAGCCACTACCGCCACGGAAGAGGACAAGAAAACGCAGTGAACAAAGCTTACATGTGACCCACTAACCTATCTTAAGCCATGCAATATTGTTGTGGTAATTGGATTGTGCTAGGTTTTATCATAATCAGTTGTCGATAATTTTTACCAAAAATGGTTATATGTAACACTTACTATTAATGAACAATGCAATGAATTCAATGCTATACCAGAGATTTTTAGCGCTAGTTGTATAGTTTTAAATTTTTGCCACTGTAGGGAATTGTGCTTAACCCTAATCCTACATTTTACATCAATGCCTAGTCAAGATTTATATAAAAGACACGACCGAATGTTCACCATGAATGAGTACAGCAGCGTTTAAAACGAGGCCTGAAAACTTACATCAATTTGAAGACAATTTTATAAGACGTAAGAATTATTTATTTCATAGGTACTTATACCTACATATACGTATATATATTTTGATATGCTCAAATAATTCTTAACGCCTAAGATAACACATACGGAGTGGAAATGGAATAAAGTAAAAGCAATTGAATTATTTTACATTATTTTATTTAACTTGTAAATGGGTATGCGAATGAAAGAAGAACATGCTTATTATCTAGTGCTCCATGGGCTGCGCGTCGCCGCCTCCAGTCTCTGTACGGCGTTTGGCTCCACCACTTCCACCAGCTGCAGTTTCCAGCTCCTCATGCTCGTTGATCTCGCTAAACATGTAGTCGTCCTGGTACTCCTTCAAAATCTTGCTTGAGCGGTTCTCATCCAAGAACAGCGAGTAAACTTTCTTGACATCCTCTGTGTTCACCTCAGTAGCTTTGCGACGACGGCAAACCAGATTAGCGGTAGTTATTAATTGTATGGCATATCGAAGGCTGGTGTCTGTAGCTATGCGTGTCAAGATGGTCAAGGCATCAGGGTGCATGATGCAGTCCTCCTCCTCGCAACGTATCTTTAGTATTTCTTTGACTTCCTTCTCCGAATACGGAACTGTGCGTATTATAATCATGCGATCGAGCAAATCGATGGGTATGCCATGAGGGCTGCGATAGTTGGTGCCCCGAATACGTGTAATGCCTCGATTGGTTGCCATGACTACCACCGGTGCCATGTCCGACTCCAAAGCACGGTTGAGGAACGAAAAACATTCAATGTCCAGCATGTGCACCTCGTCAATAAAGAGAACGCCTGGATTGATCTCAGCCTTCCCCTCCTCACGCCACTCAAGGACTTTATTGTTGATCTGATCGCGCACTTCTTGCTTAATTTCACCAGTGTCGCCAGAGAATAGGGCCAGGAAGCCGTGTGTGCGGCTATTGATGACGTCGATTTCGTGCAGGGTGACAGTGTGAACCACCTCCTTACGCTTCTGCAGCTCTCCTTCGGGGCACTGCACGAAACGTGTCTGAGCGCCAGTTGCATCATAGTCCCGAGCGCGTGTGAAGCTGCGTCCCAACTTGTTGACTTTTCCCGAAGCCTTGTCTATGGTGATGACATCACCGGCCTGGATCTTTTCTTTCATGAAACATTCGATTATCTTATTGCCAAGGTCATAGTTGGTCTCCATTTCGGTAGTCTTGAGAGTAACTTTTCCCACCTTTTGGCCTGTACCTGTGGCAGGCCGTTCGATTTGTATTTCAACCACCTCGCCCTCTATGATTTCCGTTTCTTCCTTGATGCGTACACCAATGCTCTTGCGGAGCGCCTGCGACAATGCCTCGGTCTTACTCATTTCCAGCGAATATATTTCTGATCCAGACATGCTTGTAAACGGCGTCTCGGTGCCTAGAGCCTGTGCCATGCCCACAGCTATAGCCGTCTTGCCTGTACTCGGCTCGCCCGCAAGCAGAATGCACCTTCCAGCTATTTTTCCCTCGCGCACCATCTGCACAACTACCCCAGCGGCGCGACGTGCATCCTTTTGGCCCACCATGCCCTGCGAGACCGCACGCGCCTCCAGAACATCGTCCAGGCCGAGCCCGCGAATGTGAGAGTGGGCGCCAATGCGTTCAATGCGAGTAATGTCGCGTACTTCGATTTTTTCGGCTTCGGCCATGATATTCGTTATTGATGAGTAATTTTATACGTTAAATGGGACGTTGTTGTGCTCGTATAAACTGAATTTGTCGCTACTAGAATTGAGTTATGTTGCTCGGCAACGTTGAACGTGTTTGCCGGTAAAGTTGAGCAATAAGCACCGCACCTGCGATTTGTCGCTATTGCTGAAATATCACAAATCACAGAGTGTTACATATCACAGGTTAAAAATCACAGACCTGGCTCTGTTGTAACGAGCCATTTATGTCACGGACTGGTACTTTTTTTATTTGTCTGTTATTGCATTGTTAAAATTCATTAATTATTTGCAATGAGAAATAATCAGTGCCGCTATGCTTTAAATTCGGTATTCATTTTAGCAACTATAATTTAATTTAAAACCCAAATTAGCAATTTAACACAACAACACAACTTCCAAAAAATCGGTAAGCACCAGTTACTGTAACAGCGCTCGCTGGTCATAAATAAATACAATTTATTGTAGTTTTTAGTTTGTAGGCGTGGCAGACCCCACAAAGTATATATATTCTTGATCAGGGTGACAAGCCGAGTCGATATAGACATGTCCGTCCGTCCGTCTGTCCGTCCTTCTGTATGAGCGCAAGGATCTCAGAAGGTACAAGAGCTAGAATAACCAAACTCGGTATCCAGATTCCCATAAGCCCTAGGCAGGTCAAGTTTATTTTTTTTATTCTGATACACCCTCCACTCCCCCGCAATTCGTGTTTTTTTCATAACTACTTGGGTTCAACTTTGTGCTGTATGTATTACACGCATATAAACACGCAGAGACACGATTCTGATGTAAATGTATGCTGTTGAAACTGTACATGAACATGTCTTTAATTTAATTAAATAATTTAATTAATATACTTTTTTAATTATTTAAAACATTTTTTTTTACTTTTTCTTTTTTTGTGGGAGGTACAGGATTTAAGAGTTGAGCTTGGTCGACTTTAGCATTCTTTTCTTGTTCTCTGCTGCGCTTAAGCAAGCCATCCCCAGTAGGATAAGCAATACTTTGCCACAAAATTTGATGTGTGCATGGAAATATTTGATTGTCTTTAGATATAGTTCATTTTAAAACAATCTAATGCTAAGGTTGTTTGGAATGTCACATTTTGCACCTCTACGTTTTCTGCAAGGACCTAAAACAAATTAAAATTTCTAAGGGCTTGCCCCGAAAACTTTATTTAAACGCAATTAGATACTTTGGTCTTTCAATCTTATCCGCCATTGCCACACTTCTTCGAAACGTGTCATCTGAATAAATTGAAAACTGTGAGGGAAGTCCGCACTTCATTTCTCTAGTGTGTGTATAAATTCCCAACCTATTCCACCTAGAGTCGAATTTTGCAATAGGCCTACATCTATATTTGGTTTCGTATGACGAGACGACATGTCTGGTTATTAGAAACTTGCAGAACAAAACCAAGTGAAGAAGCTTTGATCCGATGTTGCATTGATAGGATTTCTTAGTGTTGTTTCTGTTGAACTGACTGAGGCGATTGGTTGCGCCGCAAACTTCCTATATGGAGATCAATTCCAGGAGGAAAGAAATTTTTAAAGTTTAGGATTAGATTGTATTACTGCAATGACAGTGTTTAAGTTTTCCTTTATTTAATATTAATAATTAATAATTACATTTTAAAATGCATGTGTATTTAAAAACTGGCTGAAAAGCTATTAATAACAAAACTTAAGGTGTCAAGAACATGTGAAAAATGCATGTGCAAGTAGTAGAAATGTTGGTTAGCTTAGCTTTTTTGCATTTGAAACTTGTTAAGTCACAGTTCGCATCGAGTTTTTAGCACTTGCCATTTGTTGGAGCCTTTGGGCGACATATCTTACTGCGCCCGTTGGCTCCATAGACAATGTTGCAGGAGAAGGTGAAGTACCCGCAAGTCGATGATTTTGTATAGTAGGTGGACTGGAAGTTTTTGTTATCCTGCGGTGGGTTCTTCGAATTATCCATGCTGCCTGTGACAGACTTTGTGACTGTAACATAGCTATCAGGGGCCCGTGGTGCCACCTCATCTTTGGTTTGGTCTTCGGCATTTATGTTCAATTTATTTTCAGTATTGTGAGGCTCCAGCGCTTTGGTGTGGAACTTTTTCTCTACATTCACAGTTCCACGAAAACCGCTTGGAACAGACTCGGTCGTCGTGCGAACGTTATAGCGGTTAATACGTCCATTTTGATTTTGGACAACTGTGTATTTATCGGTTGGTAAGTTTGCTACAACTGCCTGTTGTGTTTGATCAGGCGTTTGTTGTGTGTAAACATGTGGCTTTGTTGGCTCATCTTTTTTCACTTCTAAGCCCCTTGGAATTGCCTCCTCTAACTTAATGGGCTTCTCGTTGTAGTAGTCATCGTCATCGTATTCATCATATGGCTCCTCATCATCATCTTCTTCATCTTCATTGGGCGTTGTATCATTTGTAATTTTGTTGTTGTTATCCTTAAATGTTTCTTCCTTGGTGGTCTTAGTTGACCTTAGCTGGAGATCTGGTTGTGCACTTGAAGGTGGGGGTGGACCGCTGTAGACAGCATCCACCCGGTCAGTCACGCTGAAAATGTTCAAAATTGTTATTTTTTATAACTGAGCGGTGTTGGATAAAAGCATACGCATTGCCATTGTTTCCAAATTGGCTGATTGAGTGAAACAGGTCCCGATTCTGCTCACGATATGTGGCCACTTGTTCTTTGGTACCGGAAGCCGATTGTGCTGCACCATGGTATGATACTCCGAATCTATAAGTAGAGATACGACTTTTAATAAATATTACTGAATGATTTCGAAACATCGCTTACGATGATGTTCCATGTATTTGAGATTGGCTTTGGCCTGAGGTACTGCCTGACTGCGCGGACGCTTGACCGCCACCAGCTGCAGAGACCGATGTGTTCTCTTGCCCAGGACGGAAGCCAATTTGGGCTTGCGACGAAGTTTGGCCAGGACCGCTTGATTGAGCATCAGCCAAGCCACCCTTATCATTCGCCTGCACCTCGCTTTGACTTTGGTGGATAACGCCGCCACTTTGGGATGAAGCTTTAGTGCCACCATCCTTTGAATTAACCTGTACTTGTGCCTGTGATTGTGCTGCTCCTCCGGAACCTTGTGATTGACTCATGGCTCCATCTGCATTTCCGGTGACCTGAGCGCTTGCTGCTCGATCTGCATCAGATGTCATTGCACTTGCGCTGAACGAGCCTCCAGTATTATAGCTGCCCGACACTTGCGTTTTTGCAGTACCACCATTCTTTTTGCCTTGAGCACTAGCCGATGCCTGACCCTCTCCTATCGTAGACTCGGCCTGAGAAAACGCGTCGTCAGTTCCTGGAGAAGCGAGAGCTCCAGTTGCATCTAAAATTATTTCAAATGTTTATGAAGTGTAACTAAACAATTTAATTGCACTACCTTGTGTTCCAGGTTGCTGATAAATAGGTGCTCCACCAGCACCAGTTAATACACCTGTGGGTTGTGTGTATTGCCCAGGACCTCCGATTGATGGAACTCCAGGTTGTTGGAAGCTTGAAGCTCCAGGCTGTTGGTAGCTTGGTGCTCCACCAGGACTTATAACCCTAGTTCCAGGCTGTACGTATTGTCCTTGGCCGGGTTGCGTATATTGACCAACAGTCCCTTGCGATGCAGGTTGTTGATAACCAGGTGTTTCAACAACACTTCCGATTCCACCTGCAGGCTGTGTATATTGCCCGGGTCTTCCTCCAGTGGGAATTCCTATTCCTTGACCTCCAGTCTGTTGATAACCAAGAGTTCCAGGCCCGGCACCACCAGGTACAGTTCCGCCTCCAGGAAGTGCACCCGAAGGCCCTCGGATTCCTTGAGCTCCAGTCTGTTGGTAACCAGGAGTTCCAATAACGGCGCCACCAGGCAGAGTTCCAGCTCCAGAAATACCAGCAGAAGGGCCTCCAATTCCTTGAGCTCCAGTCTGTGGGTAACCAGGAGTTCCAGAAATGGAACCACCAGGTATAATTCCGCCTCCTTGAGTTCCAGCCTGTTGGTAACCAGGAGATCCAGGAACGACACCACCGGGAAGTGTTCCGTATCCAGGAATTCCAGCAGAAGGGCCCCCAATTTGTTGAGATCCAGTCTGTTGGTAACCAGGAGATCCAGGAACGACACCACCGGGAAGTGTTCCGTATCCAGGGATTCCAGCAGAAGGGCCTCCAATTCCTTGAGATCCTGGAACCACACCACCGGGAAGTGTTCCGTACCCAGGAATTCCAGTAGAAGGACCTCCGATTTGTTGAGCTCCGGTCTGTGGATAACCAGGAGATCCAGGAACCACACCACGGGGAAGTGTTCCGTATCCGGGAATTCCAGTAGAAGGAGCTCCGATTTGTTGAGCTCCAGTCTGTGGGTAACCAGGAGTTCCAGAAATGGAACCACCAGGTATAATTCCGCCTCCAGGAGTTCCAACAGGAGGGCCCCCGATTCCTTGAACTCCAATTTGTTGATAACCAGGAGTTCCAGAAACACCAGGTAATGTTCCGACTCCAGGAATTCCAGCAGAAGGGCCTCCGATTCCTTGACCTCCAGGTTGTTGATAGCCGGGTACTCCACCACCAATTACAGGTGTGACTCCAGGTTGCGTATATTGGCTTAAAGCTCCCCCATAATGAGTTCCCGGTCCTCTAGCACCAGGCTGTTGATATCCAGGTGCCCCTCCAGCGGCTATAGGGCCTATTCCAGGCTGCGCATACTGACCCGGAACTCCGGCACCCCCGGTCTGTTGATAGCCAGGTGTGCCACCAGCGACTCCAGGCTGTGCATATTGACCTGGTCTTTCGATTTCTTGTACTCCAGGCTGTTGATAGCCAGGTGTGCCACCAGCGGCTCCTGGCTGTGCATAGTGGCCAGGTCTTCCGATTTCTTGTACTCCAGGCTGTTGATAGCCAGGTGTGCCACCAGCGGCTCCTGGCTGTGCATAGTGGCCAGGTCTTCCGATTTCTTGTACTCCAGGCTGTTGATAGCCAGGTGTGCCACCAGCGACTCCTGGCTGTGCATAGTGGCTAGGACTTCCGATTCCTTGACCTCCAGGCTGTTGATAGCCATCAGCACTTCCAGGGAGTGCATATTGACCAGGTCTTCCAATTTCTTGTACTCCAGGCTGTTGATACCCAGGTGCGCCACCAGCGATTCCAGGCTGTGCATAGTGGCCAGGACTTCCGATTCCCTGACCTCCAGGCTGCTGATACCCAGGTGCACCACCAGTGGCACTACTATCTACTCCTGGTTGTGAGTATTGTTGTTGATAACCAGGCTGACCAAATTGTTCATGTCCTCTTACTGCTTGTGATCCTGGCTGTTGAAGGCCAGGTTGCCCATATATTCCAGTGCTTCCGATACCTTGGGATACAGGTGGTTGATATCCAAGTGTTCTGTGATCGCTAGGTCCAGTACCTGGTTGTAAATATTGGCCAGATGTGCCAGATGGCCCAGAAATTAAACCAGTGCCAGGTCTTCCACCAATAGTACTACCAGTTCCAGATCCAGGCTGGGAATATCCGCCAGGCCCTAAGTCCGAAGGACCCCCGATTCCTTGAGTTCCTGTTTGTGAATAGCTAGGTATTCCTGCCACACCAGAAATTCCTCCGATAGGGGCCACGGGTTGGCCAGAAATTTGGATTCCAGGCTTCTGATACAAAGGTGCACCACCAGCGCCAACACCTTCGGTTCCTGGTTGCTTATATTGGCTAGGACTACCAGCTGTAGATGCTCCAGCTCCTTGTGTTCCAGGCCACTGTTGGCCAGGTACTCCTCCAGCTTCAGCATATTGTCCTTGGCCTCCATGTTGTTGATAACCAGGTGCTCCACCAGTTCCAGGTTGTGCATATTGTCCTTGACGTCCAGGCTGTTGATAGCCTGGAGCTCCAACAGATCCAGGTTGTATGTATTGCCCGGTGGGTCCTTGGGATCCGGGAGTTCCAGCTGCACCAGCAGCTCCTCCTTCAGGCTGTGCATATTGTCCTTGAGATCCGGGCACTTGATACCCGGGAGTGCTTCCAACGCCAGAACCTTGTCCTGTAGGCTGTTGATACCCAGGTGACCCACTTATGCCATCGAAACCAACATCCGTAAGTGGGCCACGCCCTGGTTGTGCAGGTCCTGTGGGCTGTTGATATGCGGGTGCTCCAGAAACTCGACCACTTCCATCTTCAGGCTGTGTGTACTGTCCAGGAAGTCTGTCGGAGGGTATATGAACTCCTTGAGCACCAGGTTGTTGATAAATCGGCAGCTGTGTTTGGCCGCCAGGACCTCCAGCACCTTGTGTACCAGGCTGTGGAAATTGGGGTCTTCCAGAAGCATCAACTATTTCACTTGGCCGTGTATATTGACTGGGCCGTCCCCCTGAAGGTTCCAAGGTTCCTTGAGTGCCAGGCAACTGATATCCAGGGGTGGCAGCAGGGCTGTATATTCCACCAGATGGCCCGGGTACACCCCGGATTTCTTGAGTTCCAGGTTGTGGCGGACCACGTGCGCCATCAATTCCGCCATAATGAGTAGGACTTCCGATAGAGGGAGATCCTACTGAAGGACCTCCAATTCCCTGAGGCCCACGCTGACTGTAAGCAGGTAATCCGAACGCAGCTCCAGCTCCTGGTTTATCTATCAAACCACCGCTAATACTCGTACTACTACCAGGTAATTGGAGTCTTCCTTGATCATAAGCGGGTGAACTGCCAATACATCCGCTACAATCCCCCGAAGAAAATTGGCTTTGTGCTTGTCCCATGCCATGACTACCGGCTAAATATAATTATTTTACAATTAAAGCTATGTAAACAGTACAATCTTTACAAGCACAAAAGTTTTGAACTTACCAACAGTGGACCGCGAGCCATTTTCAGTCGCTTCCGCTTCTGCTTTACCATCCTGTTCTGGCTTACCGAAGTTTATGTATTGCGACTGCGTCTGTCCTCTAGCACTGAGCAAAAGCGAGGCAAAGTAAATCAATATATTTAAACTTATGTACTTGTGTATAAACAGATTATGCTTACTGGCTTCTCTTTGTTCTCTCTTGATCCAGTTGATCTTCACTATCCTGAAAGTACATAAATAAATTGTAATGCTATGATAACAGAGTTTAAGTTCAATGCTAATGTCAATAAATGAGCTTATTCTTCGTGATCAGTTGGCGGCAGAAACTGACCTTGTCCAAATGTACATCGAGTACATGAATGAAGCCCTTATCTCACTAAACTGAGCTCATATATTTGTACAACTGTCAAAATAATACAAATGTGATCTTCACATTCTTCCTCGACGATCTGTCTTACATACACTTTTGTTACTTACTATAGCTGCCCCATTTGTATCGGCCGCGAGCAACACCACGCAAACCAGTAGGCCCCAATGAAAGGGCAGCATTTCAATAAATCTAAATTCAATTAAAACGCGCTGGATCCGTGGTCATCAACAGCAAAAGCAGCAAACTGTGAAATTAAATTGAATTATCAATAAATTTGATTGGCGACGAGGCGTTTTTGATTACAAATATATATTAATAAAATATGTATTTTTTGGAGTCGGCACGCTCTGTTGAAGGGGTTATCACAAAAATGCTTTGGTGCGGGCTCAGCCGTCAAAAATATATTTTTGGTCTTGACCTTACAAGAGACGTAACTTCGTCCGTCCTTAGCTCTGATTTTGTGGCACTTTTTCGTTTTATAGTATTTTCGTATTTTCTGTAAAGCATTTGTTCAAATATATTAACGGATACAGTTTTGGGTTTTCAGGATTTAGTACACAACAAATTTGGGTCTAAGGATATACGTTTAACCCAACTCCATATAGAAAATAAGTTCCTTTTTACACATAAACTGTATACATATACTATTCTTGATCAGTATAACACAACCAGTTGATATATCCATGTCACTGCGTCCACCTGTCTGTATGATCGCAAGAATCCTAAAGGTTTAAGAGCAAGAATAACTGAACTTAGTACTCATATTCTAATAAGCTCTAGACAGATCACTCAACTCTGCACTGTACACATATACATGGACACACTTTACTTTACGAGTACATACACATCTGAGATTTTCCGCACATGTGTTATAGTATACATATATTTCTTATTTTATAAATTTATATTTTAAAAAATAATTCAACAAATTTTTTTATGTCGGAATACGTACAGTTCCCGTTCGACTCTAGCATTCCATTCTTGTTTTTCAATTATTTGATTGCATAAGAAGCACGAAAGCCTTATGAAGAATTTATGGAAAACAGAAAAAAACTAAACCTTTTTAAGCCCAGCCTTAAGGCAAATCAGTCAAACACTCAGTTAATTTCAACACAAATCTGTTTATCCTTGACCTATTTCACGGATCAATTTATAGTTTAAGTGCTTTATCAGTATAATAGTGTTCTGTTATTATTTAAATCTGGTTGCATTTGAATTGAAATTGTGACACTTGTATTTTCGATACACTGATATCGGTATCCTTTACATAAAATGTTGATATTCATTTATATTTCTGGCGAAGACCATTAAAGCTAAGTCATACTTTGTCACTGCGTAGGATACAAAAATTTCCGATTAGCTTCCGATCGCGACAACTGCTGGATTGCGAATAACGTCGCCAGCATAATAGTTCAATGCGTATAGTCAGGCGACCAGCTAGTCAGTCTGTCCGTCGCGCAGAGAGCTCAATTCATTGCGAGCAATTTCAATACATTTGCATATGGCAGCATGAATATTTAGGACCCACGCCCGCCCCAAGATGCGCACAGACACTGTGACACGTCCAACTGCCGCCTTATCGCACACATATAGTGCATACATTTATACATACATATGTCCATATGTGTGTACGTACGCACATTTATAGACAAAGTCGGTGGACGGCCACTTAAAGCGCTATGAGTTGTGGTTGAATCGAGTCGAGTCGAGTCGCCAGAATCATTCATTTCGTTCCATTACATATCAACACTTTGATCGTGTCAATCCGATCACTTACTTGGCTTGAGTGCGAACGCCTTATTCAATGCCTCAGTTACAACATCGTCGGAGTGGGGCAGACTTTTGACCCATTTTAAGGAAATGCTGCCATTTATTAGCATATAAAGATAAGCAGTTGTACGTATGACCATACTTCATACAAACCTATGTACATATGTACTTGTATGTATGTACATATGTATTTATGTACATACATACACTTAACTACCAAATATGTTTGTAGATTTCTTTTATGTTGTGCTCTCTTCAGAAACGCTTCAATTTTCAAGTGTATTCCTGCGCCCGGCTCATTAAATATTTACATATTTATTTGCCTTGCATGTGTTGAAATTCCTGTTTATGAAAAGTAAATTTAGCTCTCTTACGAATATTGGGGGCATCTTTTAATTAATTATTGAATCGCTAGAATTTTTGTATATGTAGTATTTGTGTTGTATGTACAAAATTCGGCTCAAGATTCGGCGGAAGTAAATACGGTTGAATTTTTAGGTTGCTTTTAACTTGATAATCTTTGCACTTGATGTGGCGGCGTCATATCTATTTTTAGTAAGTACACATACAAGCAGCTGTCCAGGCTTTGAAGCTCCTTGTCTATGTGTGCAAATTTCGATTATGTTGACTTTGTCTTATCATGAATTAGAAATGTTCTGATTGAAATTAAGCATGAAATTCTATTATCTTTAGGCTTCTATAAAGGCTTATATGTATGTATGTGTATAAGTTTCAAGGCTAGCAGTATTTTCAATTAAAACACATACAGTTAGAAGCACAGCCGTACAGAGCGCAGAGGGGAAGCCAACCCAGTTTGATAAGATCAACAAAAAACAAAAAAAGACCATTAATAAATTGATTGCCTTGGTGGGCTTATTAAAAAAATTTGCATTGACGAAAAATATCTATTGAGAGCATCGGTTCATCAGGCACGATTTGCTGTACCATTTGAAAATATGTATAAGTAAATTGCAAAATATTTGTGTGTGCGATGAGCATTCTGTCAACGGCTTGAAATCACATGCAAAGGTATACAGATTAATTTAAAATACACAAATCATATTCTCTCTTCAGTTTGAAGTTAATGACAGTTTTGAAATAGTCTGAAACACCCTGTGTTCTAGCTCACAGCTGGATTTGCCATTCTCAATGCACTTCCACATTGCTGCCACCTCTAAGTTATCGATATTCCGGCCGTTGTTTGGTCTTCTGCGGAAAATGTAAACAATTTGTGAAAGTTTTTTATTGTTAAAATATAGACAAAAGTACGCCAAGGTCTTTCGTTTAAATAAGGCGACAAGCCAACTGACTTAATTTATTTATTTTTGAAAAGTTATACAAAATAATCGCATATGGATTTTCATTTTATTTAGATTTTTCTTGAGGTCTCAATTTATCAAATGGTAAGCAATTTTACAAAAGAAAACATTTTTTCCTTTTTTTAAATTTTTGTAAACACATATGTACATATATTTAGAAAACAATCGAAAGTAATAATCCGAGACGGGGCGGCTTTAAGATGGTTAGCAGAGATTGGATGCCTGTGCTTTTCTGCGGCTTATCAATTCCAATTTCATTGTTCATGTGGCTGGGCAACGTAGCTTTCTCTAAATTTTGGACCAACGAGTACAATGGTAACTACTGCATTCGTTTTATATTATTTTACCTATACGTTCCTTTTTTTCTAGAGAGCCACGTCATCGCACCCACTCGATGGTTCTTTTCAACGCTGGCGCCGCTGACGCTAATGACTGTAGCGTTGCATCGACGCTCGGTGAGCCGGTCTGGCGCGGCACTAGGCCTTGTTGTTGCCTTCACTTTATCCGTAGCCAGTCATCCGTTCTTTGCAAGCTTGGTAGTATTCTTCTTCAGCTCCTCACGCGCCACCAAGTTTCGTGGACATTTGAAGCGCAAATTCGAGCATGACTTTAAGGAAGGCGAAGGTCAGCGAAATTGGGTGCAGGTACTGTGCAATGGCGGCATGGCCACACAGTTGGCAATACTTTATCTGATTGACTGCGGCAGCGGGGAACGTTCCATAGACTTTGCCAAGGAATACCGTTCAAGTTGGCTGGGCATCGCAGTAATGAGCGCTTTTGCTTGCTGCAACGGCGATACATGGTCCAGTGAATTGGGAAGTGTGCTATCTCCGCGCGATCCTATTTCTATTATCAGCTGGCGGCGCGTGCCACGAGGAACCAACGGTGGCATTTCGTTTATTGGCGTGTTGGTCAGTTTGCTGGGCGGCTTGATCGTCGGCCTGGGATACTTTGTCACTGTACGGTATACGGTGGAGGCTAAGATGCTGCTTGTCAGCCCACCACAGTGGCCTATCATCATGTACGGAGGCATAGCCGGTCTCTTTGGCTCGCTGCTGGACTCTGTGTTGGGTGGTCTATTGCAGTACTCTGGCATCAATGAACAGGGGAAAATTGTGGATGCCCCAGGCAAAGGTGTACGCCACGTGAGTGGGCTGCGCATACTGGACAATCACAGTGTAAATCTCATATCGAGCATTGTTACAGGCGTGACCATGCCTATGCTGGCGCTTAAATTTTGGCCGGTTCGCTAAGAGCTTTAATCTTAGCACCCCTCCATCTAACAACATATATAAAATATATTTTTGTACTATTTCCAAACGCCAAGCGAAACCAATAGACTCATGTGCAAAAACGAAATTGCAAACCACGTAAATTTTTATTTTTACAATACTCTGTTGTAAGGCGCTGCTGTTCACCTTCCATTTTTTGATGTGGAAACTGCAGCCCGCCGATTGTTGTAAATGTCAAATATATATTCTAGTGTAACTAATGTGCCGTAAATTTTATGAAAGAATGATTAATGTTTTAAGATGTCTTAATGGCTGATATTAAGCTTCTCAAACGCAAGAAGTAATAATATATACATATTTTGAAAATTAACCTTAAAAATATATATGACATGGGGCTTAAATGCTTTCTTCCATCTTGTAATGGAAATTGTGCGGTTATAAGAGCGAGTTATATTTAACTAGATTCATGTCTCAATATATAACGGTAGGATATTGCACTTCAATATTTAATACCCGCTCTCCTTAACAACATTATTTTTATTCCAAAAATGTATATTATTTGACTTTCCTTGGTGCCTTGTGAACGCGTTTGGCCTTCTGTTGTTCTATGGTCTTGAGGAGATTACTAGAAAGAGCACGCAAGGCCTCGCTGACGTTGTCTGCTCGCATGGTAGTTGGACTTCCATTAGCAGGGATTCCGGCCGTACTTTCTTCAGAAGGGGATACTGGAGTCGTTGGCTTGGCAAAGCCAATTGAGAACTTTATGATTAGATCGCCAATGGGTGAGTTGACAAACTGCGAGCCCGTTGAGATTGTCTTGAATACAATGTGGCGCTTCTGTTGGTTCGGTAGTGGATCATGCGACAAGGAGATGGGCTTTAAGTTGGGCTTGGACTTTACAAGTGAAAAAGATGTTGATACATTGGATGGAGCGGGGTTCCTTGTTGTTGCGGGCGCGGTGGTTGCTTTAGCATTTGACACTGTGGTTCTCGTGCGTGTAGTTTTAGGCACTGGTGTGGTTGTTGTGGTTGAGCTGCGACGCTTGAGCGGTCGACTGCGCAGAGTGGTACTTTGGCGCACAGAAACTGGCACAACAATGGTGGAGCTGGCGGAGGCCGTTGGTTGTGTTGCCGTTACGGGTGCTGGCGTGGTGCTCATTATCTTGGCTGGAATCAACGCCGCATTGACCATGTGCAGCGGCTGATAGCTGTCTTCGCCCAATGATTCATCTTCGACTGCCACCTCGGGTTTCTCGGCATAGCCATAGTTCGGTTCACTATCTTCGTCATCTCCAGTAGCATCGTCCGTTTCCGTGTCCTCTACTTCTTGATAGTCCTCTGTCTCTGCCACATTGATGTGGGCATAAATATTTTTATTTGGCATTTGTTGCAAGCGCTGATGTTTTTCTTTATCGTCCTTAGGGATGGGTTCAGCATAGATGGGCACATCGGGTCCATTAGAGGCCAGCACTTGTTCCATTTGTTTTTGCAAGATCTCGTACAGCGGCTCGTTTTGCTCGTCGGAATCGTTGGAAATATACTGATTGTTGACATACGCGCTTCGTCCGTCCAAGTCGGGATTATCCTGGTCCTCCCCCGGAGCTTGTTTCTGCGCCCGCGCCTCCACTAATGGCTCTGCTTCTGAGGACGACGCTGGAAGTGGGTCTGGTGTCATCCCCAATGCGGACCTCTCGTTAGGCGCACCCAGAGAACTGACAATAACTAAAGAAATTGACTGCAACTCTTGCTCTCCATGTCCCCCTGTCGTTGTTCTTACTTACCGCTGCTTAAGAGCAAACAATAGACACATGTGTATCTCATTGCAGAGGTGTGACTTCTGTTGACGTGTCGGGCGTTTGCTCCCACTTTTATAGGTTACCGGTGCAGTGGCCGTGCCCAATATTTAACTGTTGTCCTAAAGAATGGTTTCTTGCTTCACCTATCTCGGCCCATCAATCAGTTAATGGACCTCAGACCACGACAAAAGTCGCTGCGGCAGGTTTAACGAACTTTTACGATTATGCAGCTTGATGCAGTTGTATGCAGTTGTAGGAGAGAGCTATTGTGCCTCAGTTAGGATGCATTCTACTATAAGTATGTATGGATCACATTTGAAATCTAACTCAAAAGCTTCATGGCATTTATGAGCTAGTTAACCAATTGGTATGTAGACGCATTTTATTTTTCGAGCTTTAGTGGAAACAGTTATGCCACTACGGAGTTCCACTGGCAGCTGGCTCTGCAGTGACGAAGAAAGAGGAAGTGTATTTGCTGGCCACCTACAACACTACATGTGTTCCACCCAAACCCTGCCACCAATTCATTTGTTCTCACATCTTTATCGTGTAACAATCTAGTTGAGCATTAGAACCCAATGAATAACAAGAAAGGAATGCTAAGGCCGAGCAGGCTCAACTCTTAAATACCCTGAACCCTGTAAAAAAAAAAAATGTATTAAAAAAATTTAATTTATTAAAGCTATAACTTTCTTTCTAATCAACCTATATATAATGAAACTTGATATACATATATATAATCACTAACTGGATGCGACTACCGAATTTTTCCAAGAATTATGGCAGTTATAGAAAATGGCGAATAGGGGGGGGAGTGGGGGGGGGAGGTTCCATCAGAAAAAATGAACAAACTCGTCCTTTCTCGGGCTCAGGAGAATCTGTATACCAAGTTTGGTTATTCTAGCTCTTATACTTTCTGAGATCCTTGTGTTCATACAGACAGACAGACGGCCATACGGACATGGCTATATCGACTCGGCTTGTCATGCTGATCAAGAATATATATACTTTGTGGGGTCTGCCACCCCTCCTTCTGTGTGTTCCATGTACACTCGCACAAAACTAATATACCCTTTTACCCTTTGGGTACAGGGTATCAAAACTGAGTAAGGTTGTAAGAGTTATCGAAGAACAATTTTTATTTTTTATAACCTGTCCCCAGAGGGTAAAAGGGTATACTAGTTTTGTGCGAATGTATGCAACAGGCAGAAGGAGGCGTGGCAGACCCCACGAATTTTTTAATTTTTTCCTTTTTTGTGTGCAGGGTTTTTTATTGTCGGGCTTGCTCGACTGTAGAGTGCGGAATTTGCCAGAAATTTGGTTGACTTTATTCCAGCCAAGTTGTAGAAAGTTATGAAGGCCGGTGTTACTAAGTGCTAGTTATAATAATGAATTTAACATAAATAAATAATGAAAAATATGACTTAGAAATATAAATAGTTAAGTTGAAGTTGTGTGTAAATACTTTTGACGCAAATAAAATGTGTGTAAATACTTTTGACAACTATAGGTATTACTTCTTTTCCTTATATTTTCGTCATATGAAGCGATATCTTTTTGATTGTTCTTCCATTTGATTATGTATAGATTAATCTATGTGACAATAACATTTTTTTCAAAACTAGCTTTTAAGAACATCAACAAAAAGGTTTGCAAAATGCATAATGTAAAGAAATGTCCAATGTCTAAAAACTTTTAACCACCTCAGTATATAGTCCTATAGTCGGAAAAAGCGTCCGTTTCCTTGCTGCCCGTACATTTCAGTCTATTTAGTTTTTTTTTTAATGGAAAAATTACAATACACATTTAATACATCAAGCTAAAATTTTAAAAACTGTCGAAGCATTCCTAAAAACGCACGCTTATGTATGACCAGGAGAGTGTGGAAGTGGGTGCATTTTAGTGTGCCAAGAATACAAGAAGATTTAGTTTTAGCCTACAATCTTTTAATGCCAGGGGCGAAGCTGCTGCCAGACTAGAAGAAAGCAAAGTACCGGGCTCACAGCGAGGGCAAGAAAGTAACGCTGATAATCGTACACGAATAAATTTCAATCATGCCACATTTAACTATGTTAGTCACACATATTAGTGGTTATTGATTTAATGAACAAACTATGCGAATATTGCAAGGCACTGAAACATTTGCCAGGCAAAGGGAAATTCAAATTATCAGCAACCGGAAACATTTCATTCGTTGGTTTCTGGTACGGCATCAGAATCGAATAATTTCTTGAAAAAAATTCAGGAACACAATTCATGCTTTGAAATGAATTAGTTTGGTGCAACAAATAGTATTACAAATAACTTCCAGCCAACTTTTAAAGTAAGCGAAGAAATAACAGCAATTACAATATTTACAAAAATTTAAATTTGACGACTTTTTGATATCAAGAATTTGAGTTTTTGCTAATTTATTTGTTTTGGGAAGTTCTAATGTTGAAATTGATCAACAGTATTATATTTTTCCGAACATACGAAATGTTATACGATTATTTTCACAACGAATTAGTAAGTTTCTTTTAAACGGCACTGCGTCGAATAATCACAGAGTTGTCATACTGATGACCAGCAATAGACATTGAATAAGAATTTAATGTACATCGTACAAGTATATTTATTGTCCTTCATCGTAGAAATCATCAATTTCAATGTGTTTCTAAACTTTCTCGCTCTTACGATGCTTTGCAATATCCGATTTTGTTTTAGCAAGGGTAAGATGGCTACATACATAAATCGGTTAAACAGTCAACTAGTTAGTCAAACTTCTCACAAATGTGTAACACAATTCTTACAAGAGCTTACAACTCAATTACAAGTGTAGAAATTCCAAACTGATTAAGACAATCGGCATCGGAAAATATTAACAATCTTGATCTGCCTAGGGCTAAGAGGAACCTTTTACCCTTTGCGTACAGGGTATAAAAATCAACGCGTCGAAGAGTACACATATCGACGTGAGTCCATTAACAATGATGGCAAACATGTTGATATGGTTGGTTGACAAAATAAGACCGGAACTGCGGATACGGATACCGAATCTTAATAAATATGCGATATAAATTTGGAATATCAAGTTTTCTCACAGGACCAACTCTAACTTGCTTGCTCTCGAGTCGAAAGACCATATGCAATATTTTCAGACACGAGCAATGGTGAAAAGAAAACAAAGAATATTGTTTAATAATTAAGAACAAGAAAGGAATGCTAAAGTCGAGAAGGCTCAACTCTAGTACTTTCTCGGACTTAGGAGAATCTGGTTATACTTTCTGAAATCCTTGCGTTCGTCATCCTGATCAAGAATATATATACTTTATGGGGTCTGCCACGCCTCCTAGTATACTAGTATACCCTTTTACCCTTTGGGTACAGGGTATAAAAAACAACAACATATAAAGATGATGCATACGGAACAGTGCGGTGAAGGGAAGCCACCTGAGACTGCTAATTGTAAATAAAATTAGAACAAGATTTAATTAATTATTGTTAGTCCTTTAAGATAAAAACGGAAATGTGATAAATAAATTAATAATCTAGCTGAGCAGAGTTAGAAGAAGGGCTACATTGAGAAGGGCTGAAAGCAAAAACAAAGTTTTGTGAAAGCGATGCAGATCACGAGGAGGCGTCACAACGAACACACACATATGTACAAGCATCAGCAATAAAAGTACTAACAAAATGGTTAGCACCGATTTTCAGCAATGAAAGTTGTGAAAAATAAATATACTATACATTAATCCCAAAACAGCAGTCAACTTGACAGATATTTCATATAGTGTGGAAGGGCAGACGACTCCTCTCTTTCACAAGATATATTATAAATAATAAATTTATGAATAGATATGTATGTACATGTGTATGCATATGTTTTAATTGTTTATTTAGTTAAATATTTGTGTAGCTTAGGCTATTTTATATTGAAGTCTATCCTTATCAGCCTGGACCTGGATGATCGAATCTCGAGCCACAACTTTCTCAGCTTCAGTTATTTTCGCATTGATCTCATCCAAAGCAGCTGCCATGGCGGCCTCTAGGGGCTTAGCGGTTGGCCTCGGAGCGCCTGAAGATGCGGCAATTGGTTCCACATTATTCTCTGGTTGAGCTTGCCCCTCGACAACATTGTTGTTGGGCAATTCGACAGGCTTGTCTGGTTGAGCGTCAACTGCATTTGTAGCCGAGAAGTAGGGCGATGCTTTGAACTTCTTGTCTGTGTAAGCTGTCTCCTTAGGATAAGTCTGTTGGCACTGCTCATAGGGAAGATCGGCCCAAAGGCCGTGTGTACGACACTTGGCTACGTTGAGTTTGCATTTGTTGTAGAAAACAGCCACCTCAGTCGGTGTCTTGCCGCAAATGGGTGCATAGGGCTCATTACAGTCATCATCGCACAAGAAACCTTCACTCAGTGCTTGGGCAGCGCCATTCATTCCTCCAGAGTTACTCGTGGTCTGGCAGCCAGTATCAGCTCCACAGCTGAACCAGGCAATGGGTATGGCAAGGAAGGGCGGACTAAGCTGCTTCTTGTTGGCTTCTCCTGTTGGCGAGTAAGTGCGCTTCACGTAGTATCCATGCTCTTCGGAGGAAACGTGCGCATTGATGCCACCAAGATCGGTCGAGCTGGACCACTTGGTTTTGGTTTTTGTCTTTCGTTGCTCTGACTTCTCATGATCGTCGCCCTTGTGTTTACGACGTCGTCCCTCGGCACACTGTGAGTGCAGCAGCAAGGCAGCCACTGAAAAGTTAGTTGTCTTGACTTGTGGACTACCTGATATATTTTCCACATTTACTCACCCAAGATGCAAACTGCGTGGTATGGTTTCATGCTTAAGATCTGCTTTTGTCCTCGACTTGATCTTAACCGCTGCTTGTCTGCAGCTCTACTGATCGCATCTCGCCTTGCGCGGTGGCTTAAGTAAGTATCTGTCTGTGTTGTTTTGAGAAAGAATCTGAATCTTTACCGGTTTCTTGGTATTCTACTGGTTTTTTTTTGTGTTACTGTTTATTCTGCGCCATAAACACGTAGAAAGTATCTGACGCTGGTATGACGCTTTGGTGAAATTTTATGCAACCTCATATGCTCTTCATCGATCAATCATACCCTTTAGCTTGTTCTGGATTTGGTGATAGCGATGGCTAGAATGACGACTGCTCGTTTGTTTAACACCTTTGTGGCCACTTACCTGCGCACTCTGCGGCTTAAGCAGGTTCTAAAAATGGGTCAATCTGAAAGGTTTCGTGATCTCGTTTTTATGCTTTTTTGGATGCCGTTCGTATTGGGCGAGCTTTAGCTTCAGCTTCAGCGTTTGCTTTTAAAATTAATCATTTGTGTAAAGAAGTACGGAGGGGCGTACTTAAGTACGGATTATAAATGTGGTTTGATTCTAAATAACATTGTTGCGATAATCAACAACCAGAAGTTTTTGTTGCAACGATGGCTAAGTGCCGGCTGATCTTTGAAATGACTCAGTTCTTTGGCAGACTTCATACAATATCGTCATGTTTGCTCAATTTGAGTAGAATTTCTCTATTTTGTGGTGTGATTAACCTCATTTAACTCTAGTCTCCTTGTTATCTCTTCCCTGTAATCACACCTTGTGTTTATTACAACTACAAATTCGAGTACAACTAATTGTTAGCTCTTGGCCGATTTCGTTCATTCCTCTGTGTCTGATCGCCGGTAGCAATAAACTAATTGAATTTAACTGGTTTGCCCATAATATACACAATTATGTTAGAATTGCCGAGCCCAACAATGCAAACTCTGCATATATTTAAATATAATAAAGACAGCAACTTCATTTTCGCTATCCCTGATGTGGAAAATTTTCCAAATTTGACGGTGCCTTCAACTTTCTAATGCAGCTTGGGCTCGATTGGCTGGGCTGGGTGCAGTCACCCGTACATTTGTAATTACGTAATTAAAATTATCAATGCCTGTTTTACAAAAGAAATGAAGTCAGTAATCAAATGGCCCGATTCGACGTTTCCACAACGTTTTGGGACAATTTCTTTTGTTATTGGTGGCTGGCTCCAAATTAAAACGTATAGTATCTATTTGCATATGGCAACAGACTGAACAATATTAATGACCAAACAAACAACAACAACAACGACAACGACAATAACACAAAGCCCTTCTCTAACACCCGCAACTGGCAAATGGCTGCTAATGTCTAAGGCAAACATCGGATCTCAGTCAAAGTTGAACACAAATACGAGTAAAAAGATTTATGAAAAATAAGCAGCAAGAGCAACAGAAATTTAAATAAATGATTTCGGTTTCTTTTGAAAACAAACGAAGTAAACCAAAGAAGAAATTTTGTTACAGTTGAAAAGAAAGAGCGCTTGGCTCTGCAGTAAAAGCGGCTGGCTCGGAGCTGGACGATGTAAAGAGTGTGCGCGCTCATCGCCTGCTGTTTACTTTCATTTTTGGAAGTTGGTTGGTCTTCGCGTCAACATGGACGAATGTATAAAAGCGAAAGCAAAGCGACGGATTCGCTTATAAAGACCACAAAACTACATAAGCAAGTCGCCAAAATATTTTGGATTAGCCGCACAAAGATCTGGTCAGCAAAATGGTCAAATATAACATCTGCACTGCGTTAGCTGCTGTGCTCCTCATCTGGGTGTGCGTCGTAAGTGCGGCTCCACATCACCAGCGCGACTATGGTGTCGAGAAAGCACATGATTCTCGCGCTGCCCGGCAAGCGGAACAGGATCCAGAATCATCCAACGAGGACAGCTTAGAGGATGACAGCAGCGAGGATCAAGCGGCAGCCGAACATGCAGCAGCCGTTGCTGCTGCCCAAGAATCACAGCAGGGCTCCGATGAAGGAGACGACGACGATGATGACGATCTGTTGAGGAGGCGGCGACGTGAGACCGACACTGGTGCCAAGGAACAAGAGTCGGAGCAGCACCTAGAGCAGGATAAGCTTTCTGAACCACAGCCTGTCACGGAAACCACAGCTGCCGAAGAGCCCACTGAGAAAATTTCTGGGGAGCAAGCAACTACCACGACCACTGCACCTCCAGCAACACGCAAGCCCGTGCTGGTGCTAATCCGCGATGCACTTAAAAAGGTCACGACGGAGCTACCTACGGAACAGGTGGCCAACAACGCCCTGCAATATTTCCAGCTGTTTGAACACTTCATACAGCAAACCATCGAGCAGGTCATAGGCGACGACGACGATGATGACGACGACGCGGTACCTGCTGCGGTGACTGCATTGAGTGGCATCGATTTGGCCGGTGACGACAAGAAACCGGAGGTGGCTGAGAACCCACAGCCATCAGAGGCCCTGGCAGCAACAGAACAGGTGCCAGAGGTGACAGAATCAGCTCAGTCTGTTGAGCAGCCGGTCACAAAGGACTTAATTGAAAACAGCCCCGAGCCACCGACTCCAGGCGAGGCCAGCAATGTGGTTTGATCCGTTCTTCGCCGATTCTACTTATTATTGTAACTATTTATTTCAATTTATTTATTTATAATTATTTATAAAATATGTTTGCTAAAAGTACCGCAATGAAGTTTATCGCATTTTTATTATATACTTCCAAACAGTATAGAAAAAGGCATATTCTTCTTGATAGAAGAAATCGACACATATTTACATGTCCGCCCGTTTGTCCGAACGAACACCTGGACTTCAAAAACGGTTGAGGCCACATTGACCAAACTTGGTATGTAGATCATGCTATAACAGGATACTGGAGCCCAAATTCAGCTTCCTAGCTATTGCCGATTGGGCTGTGGGATGTTGACGCGGTTTCCTTTTCTTCCCCAACATTTTATTTACAGGAAAACTCTCATATTGTAGATTTTTCATAAAAATGTTGGAGCCTGCTTTTCGCCCTTTGGAACTCGAATTTTCCAAAACCTAATTGGGCATCTACTCTATTGAATCCAAATTTCAGCTTCCTAGCTTTTACCGTTTGGGCTGTGCGTTGATCACCAATCAGTCAGTCAGTCAGGACAAACTGTTTTATATACTTGTATGTATATAGAGGTAAAAACATACATATGTGTCCAAAATACACAAAATAAATAAAAAACATTAGTTCTAAAGAAACTTTGAAACGACTTTGAAATACTCTGTACATAATTAGAATAATTATAGAAATTAAAAAAATGAGAAAAAAACAAGTAAGGAATACTAAAGTCGAGCAGGAATCAGGATCAGAATCGTGTCTATGCGTGTTGGTGTACTTGTACGTGTGTATGTGTGTATGTGTGCATTGGCCTGGTTATATGGCTATAACTTTCTTTCTAATTACCCTATCGTAATGAAACTTGGTATACGGATATATAATCACTAGATGTGTCTACTAAATTTTATTTCAAAATTCCAAGAATTACGGGAGTTATATGTAGAAAATCGTGAATAGGGGGGAGTGGGAAGGTGCATCGGAAAAAATGAACAAACTCGTCCTTTCTCGGGTTCAGGAGAGTCTGTATACCAAGTTCGGTTATTCTAGCTCTTATACTTTCTGAGATCCTTGCGTTTATACAGACAGACAGACGGACAGACAGACAGACATGGCTATATCGACTCGGCTTGTTATGCTGATAAAGAATATATATACTTTGTGGGGTCTGCCACGCCTCCTTCTGTGTGTTACATGTACACTCGCCCAACACTAATATAGCCTTGTACCCTTTGGGAACACGATTTAAAAATATTTATCGATTTTACCTCTCACGGCATTCGAACTCACGTAAAGGGTATATCATTGCACATTTACACAGAAATTGTGTCTATGTGAGTGTATGCATGTCTACGCATGTCTATTCGTGCCTGTGTAAGCATGTATGCACTACAAAGTGAAGCCAAGCAACAACAACAGCTGCGGGCAGCTCTTGAGCACAGAGAACCTATGATTGTATTTATGGCTATAACTTTCTTTAAAATCGGCTTATCATGATGAAAATATCACACTAACTCGATATATTTGCCAAATTCGAGTCACAAAATCACTATCCAGTGAAGGTGAGCGGGGAGAGAGGGAAATTCCAAAATTTTTCACATTTTCTGCGTATTTATATAAGGCATCTTGGACTAAAATGGTGGTGTCACTAGTATCGGGGACTATACGAACGGCGTTACGGAAAAACCCCATTATCGGAGGGAGTGCACAGTGGGCCAAACAGCTCTGCTAGAGGTAACTCGAGTAATTGAAAATATATTTTAATGAACATTTAAACTTGAGGTTTTTAACGCATTCATCACCCATTCTGTACATTTCAACTTCGTACAACAGCTACACGCAAGGGCGTACGCAGGGGGGCAGGGGGGGCCGTTGTCCCCCCCCCCCCCTAGAAAAAAATTTTCCATATAAAGTCGACCACACGTTCATTACTATGACGCACTATTTCGCCTTAAGATGGATCTGCGTTGGATTTGTTGAAGTTTTTTCATCGATCATATGCATAAATTATTTTTTAAATGCATCGGGCATTATTTAATCAAAATTGTAATTACATATGGTTACAATTAGCTATTTGATCAGCTTTTCCAAGCTTTTAGGAGTGTGGTCAATTATAATAAAAAAATTATGAATTAAAAAAAAATGTTTGACCTATATCCCGTTAGATTTGTCATTTGACAAATGACATAATCTTATAGCGTACACACATCTTTGTGCACAATTAGGTATATAGTATATCTTATAGTCTCTGAGATCTAGGTGTTCATACGGACAGACAGACATAGATCAACTTTCTACATACATATACATATATACTTAATGGGGTCTGCCAAGCCTCCTTCCTACATTTTTCATCTCCCGCAAACCTATATACTCTTGTACATTTCATGTACAGAGTATAAAATCAAATTACATACTTCCTGCTGGCAGAACTGGGCAGAGATTACATTTATGGCCTATCCAGATGAAACCTGACATAGTAAGATGTCCAAGAATTACGGGAGTTATGCAAACTAACTAGCAGCAGAGGAGTGGGGGAAAGAAGCTAAATCGCCGCTGATCTGAATCAACACTAATCCGGAATATACTCTGTGGGGTTTGCCACGCCTTCTTCTATCTGTTAAATTTTTCCGTTTGCAGCTATCAGGAGCATGTCCTTTTCCCGCCACTTATGCAGTACATAAAATCTGAACTATTATATTATTAGTATAGAATTGTCATAAATCCTTTCGAAGCCATTTAATTCACTCGCACTTGATCAGTTAAACGAATGTGTTTGTTCGTTGGAGCTCGTATTGACATTAAAAATCATTAAAAATGTAGAATATGGTTAGGCGAAGGCCCATTACGTCTATTAGAACGAATTTGTTTAGTTTCAGTTACAAATTCTTTTTGAAATTTATTTTAAACTTATACATAGACCAATGTTATGAACTGAGAAACTCCGCTTTAGCGAGAACTATCTACGCCTTTGATTCTTATGACGATTCGTTGGTCTTCTTTTTGGAGTCTCTATTTCATGGAGCAAGCGATTGAAATGCGAGTTGGGCTCCTGAGGGGAGGGACTCTTTAGTCTGCTGCTGGACGCGCTGGAAATAACGAAGCGACGTTCCTCTTTCTGCTGCCCTTGAACTGACAGCTCCTGACCACCAATGGTCAAGCTGAGCGGCAATTTGCCCGCCGTGTTGATGTAAATGGGAATAGTGATGTAAATAGGCGGGCTTGGCGGGGCCTGCAAATATTGAGGATTAGCTTAAGGGTATAAGCAACTGTACAAATGCAAACATACCTGTGGGTCTTGGCCAGGCTGCTTTTGTTGCTGCTTTAAAAAATGCAAGGGATTCGCATCATCACTCAGGTTCATGTACTCCTCTTCGCCTAAGTCGGGCAGACGCTCGCTGAGGAAGTTGTAGTCATTATCATCCAGCTTAGAGGCTTCTTTGCCGCTGGCCGGTGGAGCAGTGGTTCTAATTTCAGTGGAATTGCTTGTCGAGCTTGTGCTTAATGAGTTGTTAATTGCAGGAGTAGGAGAGAGAGGCAGGACAGCTGGTGTCTGGGTGTTTGGGTTATTACTGTCCTTTGCCTGGTATTCATCGCCGACAAATGCTGATACTTGCATTATCTGAAGCAGCGCCAAAGCTGTTGGAGGCAATTATAAAGCAAAGCAAGCATGAAGCAACCATTTTTAGCAATGACATATTTTATTTGATAAAATATTACCATCTAAACTTAAGCTAATGCATTCCCATAGCTCGCCCTGTACTATGCAAACCAAACACGATTATCTATCTATCTAAAGTGCCGTCCTTTTTCCATTCAGGACCACATCGGTCAAGCCCAGCTCTCGAAACTGCTCCAAGCGCTCTACTTGAGTACAAAGCCGTTTCTTGAATTGCACCTCACGACTTAGCATCTTGAGATCGTCGAGACTATTGAGTTTGCTGCCGGTGTTCACATTCTTCGCAATGAGCTCGGAAGTGAGCATAATTTTTGCCCGCGAAAGGCGTAAGTAGGAGTAGTCCGTGTTGGCGCGCCTTAGCTCCTGGCGGTAAAGGAACAGTTGATAGTGGAAACTGATGCTGTGGGGCTTTCCGCGCAGCTTCTTCTTCAGTTTATGCTTTGCGGTCGTCAGTTTTTGTTTCATTTGGCGCTTCCTCTCCGCATTCTTTTCCCTGGAAATGTTCCGTGACATATTTTGATGTATATGGGTGCGTATTCGCGTCCACGTCCGCCGCTTGTTTGTTGCTACGCACACTTAGTCTTAGTTCTTATATAGAGATGGTTGCAGGTAACAGGAGGCAGGTAGGCCGCCAGCCCATTAGCTCAGGCTCCGTTATCACTATAGTATACTCGTCTACGAGTGCGCGTGTGCGCCATAAAACGCTTTGCCATATTTTCATTCGGGCTTGTTTTGTCCGCAGCTTGGGAAATTCCTCGCTAAATGTCTGGAATTTTTATATTTTTATGGCGTTGGGCACGGTATCCTCAAGTCCAGCTCCTTAGCCTCAATTACCAACCTATCGTCAGCCACTTTGGCTCACTGTGGTGTACATGTCCTTTGTTTTACAATCTCGTCTGTATTAGTGTGCTGAGCTTGGGTTCTGTGGCGTTTGAACGAAACGCCATGGGAGACGGTACAGACTATTTTTCGCGGAAATTATTACAATGTCTGGAACCATTCAGCTCGAGATTGTCGACTGCCTGAGTCCTCAGAAGTCTTTCTTACATTTTACCTACAGGTTGGGTGCAGAAGTCTAGAATGTTCCTTTACTATCCATTACACATACTTATACATATTAAGTAGGAAGACATAATGATGAAACTACTCGTATGGTTGGTATAACTTCAGAAACAAGGAATTGTTGCAGTTGATCGCCAATGCGGCCGATAGTTCAACAGAGTGGCAACTATAGTACTACATACTATTATGTATTATAATAATATAACATCTGCTCAATAGTCTTTAAACTATTTATAGGTAAACACCGACTAACACACACAGCGCAGTTCTCATATTATTTGGAACCGCAATATAATTTAAGTTTAATTACCATAAATTATTAATGCAACAACATAAGCGACCAAAGGAAAAACAAGTTTTAAAAGAGGTTTCTTTTTTGTAAAAATAAGAGAGTATGGAAGCACTAGGTTATGTAAGTAGTTGGTCGTCTATGGAGGAATAAAGTTGTGTTTTAAGACACAATGAAGGCTAGTTTCAAAGCTCGTTATGGGATACACTATTATAATTTGTTTCAAGGCATGACATATTGGAACACAGTTTTAAGATTTGGTTGACCATAACGGGAGTTGTCGTCAAAATCTACAGTCAGCTCAGAAGCTATGTAAATTTAGTATAATTTGTAAATTAAAGTCAACTAAGCTAAACTTTGTTGTACAATTTTAAATCGTGAGTCAATCCTGCTGCAATCGAGCAACGACACACGCACTAAGTAAGTGTTTTTTTTTTTTTGTTTTCATCAACCTGCTTGTGCGTCTGGCTGACTGACTTTTTACAACATATCGGAAATATCCCTGGTATCCGAAAGAGCCACTACATGCCCACCGCTGTTATGTGGATTCCCTTTCGCTTTCGCCGGCTTTTTTAGCTGCTATATTTTCGCACATATTTTTTGATTTTGTGATTTTTTACCAATAGATGCTTTCTTTGGTGTTTTTTCCTTTCGATTTTACAATTTTATTTCTGAAATTATTGAAACACTGACAAACAGAATAAAAAGTGACTGCCAAACAAATGAAATGAGCAAAAATGAGCCAAAAAACGATGGTTGATCGCTTCGAATTTCGAACTATTTTGAATATTGCCACAAAATTGATCAAAATCAGTTGAGCGGTTTCGAAGACTATGATAGGCTATATTATATTTGCAAAAAAGATAGGGATGCTTACTAAAACACCAATATTGCAGCCCAAGGTGTACAAAACCCTTTTCACCCTTCAGGTAGCGGGTTTTAAAATTGTTTTTATTTGAGAATTAGAGAATGCTACCAATTTGAATAGCTATCTGGATTTCTTGGCGTACGTGTTGCTAAGACAGTTCAAATGTCATGCCGAAAGAGATTCATTCAAAAAATATTCATCTGTCCAAATAATTGCCGGACTAGAAATTGAACTCTTTATTTTATTTGATATACGAACACTGTAAAGTCGTAAGAAAATAGGTCTAAAATGTTGTGTTTCGTATGAAATTTTGTTTGTAATGAAGGAACTTCTAATATCTGAACCATTCGAAAAAATTTAAATCAAATAACTATATGTATGTGCAATTGCATGTGCAAATCTAAACAACTGAAAATATGGAAAAACAGGAAAAGAATGCTAAATAAAAAAAATTAAAAGTGCATCACAAAAAAAAAAACACAAACTCGACGGACGGACAGACGGACTCACAAAACTAGTATAGCCTTTTACCCTTTGGGGTTATCAGGGGAATCAGGCTATAAAAAATTGGATATACATATGTATATAGTAGTATGTGTGTTACACAAAAGTTGTTCTTGCATGGATAATTATGAATTCGAACTTAACCGATCTTTTAGGTCTTATATTCATTCTCCGAAATCAAGATGGGTGGATTTTTTTCACATATGGGGTTTTACATTTCACAGAATCATGTTGTTAAACATTGATACTATTTTTGAAAATAGCTTTAGATTCATCTACATATTTCTCAATTCGATAATCGGAAATCTGCATGTGCAAATTATATTAAGTCGATCAATTTAAATGGGTTCAGATTTCACTTATTTTCGAACATTAGTTCAAACTTTCACAGCATTTAGTCACTGCTTTTTCTATCGAAAACCGCTTGAGCTTTGAACTTAAACACACCTCTGCTCAAAACGATTATGTATCGCTTCATTCTCGTGCCGAAAATAATACTAACGCTGCTTCCAAGAAGTCATTTCTATTTTATAGCAAAAATTTTGCGTAGAGTTTCTCTTGTGCCTGCGCGCTCAAGTCCCAGGGTTAATTTCTTTTCATGATCGGCAACAAATTGTCAGCGATTTGTGTTTTAATTTCTGTCAGCTGTCTGGTTTTTTTCTTTTCAAAACTTATGTACATAACTTGCGCTTAAGAGCTAAACAACTTAGCCGCTGTCATTGCCATTGTCTTCATTGATTTTCGCCAGTTTTAGGCGCCTTTCGCATAAATAATGATGATGCGCGACTCTTTGTCGTCCGTTCTTGCATCCACATACTCGTATTATGGATTCGTCTACGGAGGTCGATGGCTGGAATATTTGCCAAAACTTTTGTGAATTGGAATTAGCTGCCTGCGGATAGAAATCCGTTGCCTCTCTTGAACCACAGACGGGCTTCATTTAAAGTTGATTTTATTTATTTTTCACTTGCAGCGCTTGCAGCCCGGCCAAGAGTACGATTGCCAGACCAGACCAGAGCCCCCACTAAGACTGGCAAGGCGTATTTCCATTTGACTTGGCACTGACTGGCTAAGTAACATAACATTTCATTTCAGGCCAAGCAAAGCTGAACAGAACAGGGGCAGGAAAGGACCAAAGGAGCCACTGTCGTTTGCGTTTGTCATTACACAACGTCTAGACCAACATTGAAGTCAGTCAGCACCAACAGCCAGCATCAATGGTGCGTCTGCAACCTCAAATGTAAGCATGTATGTATGTTTTTAAATACATATGTACATATGTAGGGTGGGATTGCTATAGCAATGACTGTCGAAGCCTTATTGCCCAATAAAAGTTGGCAATGTAATTTGCCCATAAAGGTATGATTAAAATTGGAGAATTTGAGAATGCCGAACATTATTTGAAGAAATATCTAAATTTCTTGGCATACGAATTGCTAAGACAGTTAACCCTTCGTATGTATTTGATGCAACGTATCGCCTAAACTCAATTACTTTATGTATGCGCAAAATTTGCAAAGTTTCTATTTGCTGTAGTTCTGCATGTATTATTTTAAGTTTATTTGATTTGGTTGCATTGAAGGAAGCTAGTGAATTAAAAATATGTTCACTTTTGGCAAATTTTGTGATTAGTGAGATGCAAGCAAATTAGAAGATATCTCTATTACATTTTTCAATAAATAAAGTACAAGTTTTTATTCTATTTCAACCATTCTGAACGTAAATATGCCCTTGAAGTTTGTAAAAGCGACTTTTTGTAATAATAAATTCAATATTAAGCGTTCTTGCAGATATGCATCAAACACACTTTTAACAAGAGATAAAGCCCGACAGTGAAATACCCTGTACCCAAGTAAACTTCCGAGACTGAGGTATACTTGTATATGCGCCTCTACCGAAAGCAAAAGGAAGAAGAAGAGCCAACTATGTGCTGCAGCTTGTGGGCGTAGTACCGGAGTGAAAATATTTCGGTAATAACTTTTCTTAGCATTAACCGATTTAGATGAAATTTAATTTAGTTTCATTCATTTTAAGTTTTGTCCTCGTGTATCCATTTTAAGGGAAGTTAGAGCCTTAATGTGCAGAAAGGGTATATATTCTAGATCAGCATGATAAGACGAGTTGATATCTTACATCTTAGATGCTCTATACGCAGTACAAGTGTATTTAAAAATGAGCCTCCTGTCTCCCACTGCCCGGCTATTGGTGATTTTTTATCACTTCCGTAATTCTTCCGGATTATTTGGCCGTATGTCCAGTTGAATCGTACCGAACATTTTAAAGGAAGTTATAGCCGTAAGTGTAACTGTCAGTACCTGTTCTTGTTATACCCTGTACCAGTAGGGTAAAAAGGGTATATTAGGTTTGTGCAAGGTATGTAACATGCAGAAGGAAGCATCTCCGACCCCATAAAGTATACAAGTATATATTCTGAATCAGCATGACGAGAGAAATCGATCTAGACATGTCCGTCCGTCTGGATGAACGCAAGGATCTCAGAAACTATAAAAGCTGGAACAACCAAAGTTGGTATCCAAATTCTCCTAGGTCCGAGAAAGGACGAATTTTCTCCCCTTCCCCCCGCTACAGAATTTCGCCAATAGCGTCCACATTTCAAATGCTACCTAAACCAGACTTTGCACACATAATTTATATTTTATCTAATTCGGTCATTTCCAAGAAAAGTTATTAGCGAAACAAATTCTCTCCAGTACAACCCCCCCCCCCCCCAAACTGCGGCAACAAGTTCGCTCTTCTGCTTCCTCTTCTTCTTCTGCTATGGGCGCATAT